CAGTTTCAGCTCATACTCTGCTCCTTTCCTCTCGTACAGTTTCAGCTCATACTCTACTCCTTTCCTGTCCTACAGTTTCAGCTCATACTCTACTCCTTTCCTCTCCTATAGTTTCAGTTAACACTCTACTCTTTTTAATGTTGTTACTATAATATCTACTTCAAGACCTAGCCAGCAAACCTTATGATCACTGCTATTTCAGTATTGGCTCTCATAACACCTGCTTTACTTTTGTTCAGTCTGAATATTCAGAAAAGTTATGCTATATCATGAACTCATTGTGGCTGACTTGCCACATTGTCTTGTCTTTTTTAACTGAAACTAAATATATGCCAGCATTAAATTCCATCATTTAAAATCCAGTGTTTTGGCTTCCTTAATCTTTAAATATTGCAGCAGACAACAAAGGGAGCTTTATAATGTGTATTCTTAGAAAATGAGCAGAGCAGTGCTGGTTTCATTAAATTTGGGTATACCTTACAGATTAAAATGACTTTCAGCCTGATCTGAATAGAGTGTGGCTGAGGTAAAGCTACAAATATTGTGTTATCTCCTTTGCTGAATATAACAGTCCCAGTCAAATAATTACACAAAGGGAGGTGGTTACTACAGGATATCATGAATGCAGAGCGTTGCAAAAGTATTCACTCCCTCCAATGATTTCCAGTTTTGTTAAATTACAAATGATGTACTAGCAAAATATAAAATCCAGGCTATGTATAACAATCTATACAATGCCTGGCAGTTTTTGGCAAAGTTTGAAAGAAATGTATTTACATATTATGTTCAGTCCTTTGACTAACTATTATATAAAATGCCTAGGTATTATACAGTATTAAATACTGAAATTAACTTTGGCAAAGTGTTAGTAAGACAAACAGGCACGTTTTTCATTTTTAATAACAATATGTGAATGAAAAAATATGTACATAATACTCTTTGTTGTCAACAAATTGGTGAACTATTATTCAGCAGTATATGAAAAAAACTTAAATTAACTGAGACAAAGTATATATTTTTAATATTTCATGACAAAATATGAGTGAAAAATATCGACATAATGGCGTATTTTGCCAAAATATTAATGAGCTGATATTTTAGTCAAATGAATTAAAGAATCAAAATGATTACAAAAGTATGTTTACTTATTGCAGCAAGCAAAACTAGAATGGCATTTGAAACAAAAACATTTCATGGATTGGCCCTTTCTTTTGCACATGCACTTCACACAACCTTGTCCAATCCTCGTATATAGCTGAGTAGCTGCTGATCTGAGAGACATTTCTTTGTCCAATGGGATTTCCTCTAATCCTAGGAATCCTATCTGATGTTCTGTGAACTGTGATCCTGTATGCAGTTGTTTCTAAACTCCTTGTTTTGCGTGCAGCTGATAAAACTCATCACTCAGGAGCAAGAACAGTGAACTGCTACACTTGACTGAACTGGCAGGAATGGTTTTTCAGATTGTCTTTTCATTTTCTTTGCTTGCTGCTCCAGATTAACCTTGGTATGAACACATAGAAGGCACAAAACAAGTGAGCCGTTCCTTCTTTCTCCTCTTCCTCACTAAAATTATAGCCACAGGTAACATGAGCATGACCCCCGCTGAGGTGTCGAGCACACACAATAATGAAATCACTTGACGTACTTCTCACAGATGATGCATAGTTCTGAGAATTGTTTTTTTTTCCGTTGTTGTGCTGGGCTCGGGTTGAGCTTGGGAAACTGTTTCATCCACTGTCTCATCACTTATATTATTCTCAGTCAAGTCAACAATCTCTTCTAATTCCTCCTCCTATTCCAGATTTAAAAAAAATTATTGTGGGAGATTCAATGTGTTTTAACACAATTTTATTTTGCAGCCAAAAAGAGCTTCATAAGGTGACCTCTTTTTACCAGCCTGGTAGGCACTATTATTCATTAAGTGGACAAAATCTTAGACCTTCAGTCCAATGTCCATTTTATGCATCCTGCATCCTTGTCATGACCGTATTTTCAATATCTTGATTCACGCTTTTGACACCGCCTTGGCTTTGCTTGTAATGGGGCTTTCTGTGCATAAGTTTCAGTTTAGGTAAGTAATCTTAGTGGCTCAAAGAATACTGTTATTCAGAATTCATAAGGTTTTCCAGGTACACTAATGGAATCCATCAGTTTATCTTGATGGGTTTGAAAATCATAAGATTGACTTGACAACATTTCATTCCATGACAAAATAGGTTGATTGCATAAGTATTCACCCTCCTGAGTCAATACTCAGTGGAAGCACATTTGGCAGCAAGTATGAATCTTTTTGTTTAAGTTAACAACTTTCCAGACCAGGATGGAACATGTTTCACTCTTTCCTCTTTGCACGTTGTCTGGTAATTAATAACAATAATCAGGTCTTGCGTTCTAGACAGATTTTCTATTGGATTCAAGTCAAGACTTTGACTAAGCCACTTATGAACATTTACATTTGCCTTGCTAAGCCAATCCAATATAGCTTTGGCCATGTGCCTTTGGGTCATTGTCCGGCTGAAATGTTTAGGTCTTTAACAGATTGAAGTAGGCTTTTCTCTAGTGTATTTTCCTCCATCCATTTTCCCCTTAATCCTGACAAGCTTCCTTACTGATGAGCAGCAGTGCTACAACATGCTGGTACTACCATGCTTGACAGTAAGGATGATATTGAGTGGGTGATGTGGGTTCTGTGTTGGTTTTGACGCAGATGTAAAGCTTTACATTTAGACCAGAAAGTTCCAATTTTGATTTCATCTCACCCTTTTTGTCATTTGTTGGCAGTATCACGTAAAAACTTTATTGATAACTCCGTTTGGGAATAATGGTGAGTTTGACATTCTGCATACAGGACAGCTTTGTGGAAGAGCTGAGTTATTGTTAACTCATGGGAACTTTTTTCCCATGTCAGTCATCTGGGCTGCTCATTTTGGAGGGCGTTCAAGTTCATCCTGACATTATCTGGGTGACGTGATGTGGCTTCCACTTCTATATGATCACCTTCACAGTATTAAAAGGGATGTACTGTGTCTTTGAATTTTTCTATACACTTATCATGATCTGTGCTTTTCTACAACTTTGTCTGTGTTTTTTTTAAAGCTGCTTGGTCTCTCTGGTGGACAATTACATCATATTAAGTTTTGGATTTTTCTTTGCAGTTTTTACAAATAAATTCTTCATAGTTAACTTCACCCATATTCAGTTTGAGAATAGAAGTCTTGATTAAAAATACTCACTTGAAATATTTTTTACACCATTTGTAAATTAATTAAATGAGACTTAAAAGGAATAAATTTGTATAATTTTACAAGACACTGGAATGAAATGGCAGATTTGATTCTCTTCTGTAGAGTTAAATCCCAACGTTTTGTTTTTTGCTCCTATTTTTTTAAATCATAGACATTTGACATCACGTACAGTACCTTACATTTTTTAGTAACTGGTAATTGCCATCGCCTGTTAGTATTGACTTTTTCAGTCAATGGTACAAAGTCATTGGAGCATTTATTGTGATTTGTAGAGCTTTCAGTCACATTTGTATGCTCTCTTGTGCCTAAGATTATTCAGTCTTCAGTACTGTGGATTGTGTCTGAAAGTGGGAGGAGTAGATTTTTAAATGTTTTAATAATATATTAACAGACATATACAAGAATGCTATTTTCAGTGTTCTCAGCTGCATTACTTTAAAAACGTGCATTGCCAACTTCAGTAAATGTTTTTTTTATGTTTTTATTGTTTTTTCCAGTCCCCAACAATGGAGAGGACAGGGATGGCATCTGCAGATCATGGGGACAATACCACTTTGAAACGTTTGATGGCATTTACTATTACTTTCCAGGAAGATGTTCATACATTCTTGCCAAAGACTGCCACACGACAGAACCGCAGTACACGATATGGGTATATCCCTTATAAAGTTGAACATTTTTTGTTTCTAAAAAAAGTAGAATTTTAAAAAGCATTGAGACTTCATTTATATTTCATATCATTTTAAAAAATTGCTTGCTGAAGTCTTTTTTGAATATAATGACATTTCATTTTTAACTGAGGTTTAAACATTTGGACAGTTAAAATTGTAAAGCACTGCATTTAATTTTAACACTTAATAAAAGAAGGTACAGTACATGTTTTTTAACGCAGTCAAGCGGGCGTATGCTGAAACTTAACAGATTTACTCTGAGGAAATTTTTCTGTGTATTTTGGAAAGAATCCTTGCTACAAATATTCTGCCTGGGCTTCTTTCACAAGAAAGCGTGAAAGGATTTCTTATTTTTGAGGTGAACAAATGAAAGCTTCTTTATATCCTGTATTACCTACTGATATCTGGATGGAGTATTTCCTTTAAATTTTATTTTTAAAGAATATAATTACATCGGAATTTCATTTAATCTTTAAATTTTGGTTTATACCCTTGCAATTTATTTTTAATAAAGAGATTCTTTTTAGCATTTCCATAATGTGTAATTTAACAGCATAATCGACTAATGCACCTCTAAGGATTACAGCTATGTTATTATCCACATAAATGTTCTGTATATGAAGGATTCAGAATGAGGTGAACCACGCTTGCAGATGTTTTTGAAAGCACATCATTTTAATTTGAGCTGAACTCTAGAAATCCTCTGGGGTCCACGGATAATCCCCGGTAAATTATTTTCTCACTAATTTCCAGGTTCATAACAGCCGGCACTGTGAAGACTCAGTGTACTCCTGTCTCAGATCTCTCAGCCTGTACTTCCCCAACGAGGAGGAGATCCAAATTACCGGCTATGAAGTCAAGAAAGGTGGCATCAGGTGACTGCCAGGGAGAAAAGAAGGAAATGAGGAATCGACAGTTTTAGCAAACTCACAGAGGAGAAGAAAGGAGAAGGGATAAGGGCAGTGGCAAGGTGGTGGAGAAGGCTGTCTTCTCCACTTTTTCATTAAGACAGGATTGCTCAACTCGCATTTCAAAAGTAACGCTATACGTAAAATTACAGGATGAGTTATTTACAGTTCTAACCAAGTTGAAAATTACACAATTCATTTTCCAGTATGGTTAGGCAACCAAATGTTTTTCACACCATTATTGATGATGATGTGCTGAGATCTTTAGTGTTACACACACAGCAAAACTATCAAGTCTCGACTACCTTAATTTAACAATGATCTAATGTTATTCTGTCATAAAAAAAACATTTTTATATGTACTGTACATATGCTTCAGTGCTACATATTGATATATATATTCTTGTGTATATTAACATGTTTGTTTAATAGTTTGATGCCTCTTAGTATTTTGAACAGGCTCATTAGGTCACGTATGGATGAGCAAGGTTTTAAAAGTTCTTTAATTAGCAGACTCAGTATATGTCTGCCAGACCTAGTTTTTACAAAAATAGGTGCAAGATATGGGATTAACCTTCCAGGTATTAAAAATAAACAGATTTATCAGTCTATGGGTATGAACTTACTTCTGTGCACTGAAAAGTGCCAAGATATTTCTTTATGAAAGCAAGCTAACGATCAAATAAGTTGAATTGTGAAGGTGCAGTGACCCATTTTGAAGGAGGTTGAGGATTTCAGTATAACTGTCTGCCCATGGGATTTCTTTGGTCAGTTCATTTTGCTGCGAGTAAGAGGAGTCTCACAATACAGCAGTATTAAAATTCAGCATTCCAAGAGGAAGTGTATACAGGCTTGGGCAAGAGAACAAATTGTATGTTCAAATTCCTCCTTTGACCGTACTTTAGTGAGTGACCCTGTGGGTGTCATTTGATCCCAATACAGAAAGCCAATGTCTTACAAAAAATTACATCAGCAAAAAATTACTGATTTACTCAAAAGACAGGTAAAATATCTCTGGTTATTTACAAACTCACATCAGGGAGCCTGATGTGGCTTTAGAGGTGCTTGAAATTATAACAGTCACTAATGACTTTCTAATGGTGAAAAAGTATCATGAAGTTTCTTTAATTTACACCTGTTTCCTAGTTTTCTTTGAAATGGCTTCGTAAAGTTTATGAAGATTGTCTTGGGTGTTTGTTTGCTCATGAGGGTAATTGTAGTAGTTGAAGCACCAAAGTAAAATAATACTAGCGGTAGTAGAGGCATACAGTATTTATAGTCAGCTGTATAGATAGCAAATACACACATTAGTGGAGCAATACATGTATGTTACTTACACTCCCAGATTTGTTTTAGAATGGTTTAAATCACATTACAAGGACTTTAGCAGTGAATTGAAGTGATCTAGTAACAATAAATGTGATTACTATGATTTTTGTGTTACAAACCTGGTAGTGTGGGTGCTTACCCTGTGATGATGTGTGTTTTTGACAGGCTGACATTACCCCAGACCATTCGAAATGTGTTCATTGAGAGACTGGCCGACTACATCCTGGTAAAAAGCACCTTTGGGTTTTCCTTGGCCTGGGATGGGGGCTCTGGAGTGTATATCAAAATGACAGAGGAGCACAAAGGCAGGCCTTGTGGGCTCTGTGGAAACTACAATGATGAGGGAACAGATGATCTCACCACCAGCTACAGTAAGACAAATAGGCCGGCAGTAGTTATCCATTCATTCATCACCAAATTGCATGCGATTATTTCTTTAGTGAGAATTGCTGTTCACCTGATTGAAATCCTGCATTTAAACAGATCATTTCCAATTGTCTTTGTTATGTTTGAATGATGGAGGGGAATGGTTTCATCCTAACCCTAGACTTAGGGCTGGGTGATATGGCCAAAAACATTATCACGATAAAGATTTTCATATCAGTCAATATCGATAATTATCACGATAAATAATTACAAATAATTATTTCTTTCAAGTTTAAAGGCAGATTTTTTTTCCTGAGTGAAAGTTGAAGAAACCAGACAGTTAATTGGTAAATTAAACAACTTTTTATTTTAAGAACACAACAAACACTTGCCAAACAGCAGAAACATTAAACAAATCTTTTAGCTGCCCGGTCAGCAACACGCACGCACACTCGCGCAGTATTTTGTGCGCATGCGCATATCATGCACAAAGTATAAACATATATATCAAACATTTATCAAACTTTTGTTAAAATTATATCGAGGGAAACTATATCGTGATAATTATCGTTACTGAATTATCGCCCAGCTCTACCTAGACTTAGTGAAAGTTGAGATTTACAGTTCTTAAAGACATTCAAGATGTTCTTTCTTGAATTAAACAAAACTGTTACAATCAGAAGAAGTAAAACAAAATCATATTAAATATTATAACTTTTGAAAGTCTGGAAAGCAATGGAAATGCATAGTTAAACTGCACAACATTATGGGTTTTGAACAGAAATGGGCATTCATTATTATTATTATTATTATCAACACTGGGACGGCACAGTGGGACAGTGGGTAGAATTGCTGCCCTTCAGTGCAGGGGCTCTTGAGTTCTGAGTTCATTTCTGGACCTGGGGTGCTATCTGCGTTGGGTTTGCATGTTCTCCCCGTGTTTGCATGGGTTTTCGCCAAGTGCTCAGGTTTCCTCTCACAGCCCAAAGCCATACTGGTTGGTTAATTGTCTGCTGGTAAAATTGGCACTGGTGTACATGCGTACGTGTTTGTTTCTGTGCTTGTGCCCTGCGATTGACTGGTGTCCCTTTCAGAGTCTGTCTTGCCTTGTGGGCATTGCTTGTTGGGATAGGCTCCGGGTCCCCTATAGACAATGGATTAATTTCACTCAGAACAGATGAAAGAATGCACAGATGTGAGGGGAATGGTTTCATGGAGATGTGGAAATGAAAAAGGAATGATAATTATGATTATAATTTGAAATAAATACTTTTTAAATGAATTTTCAGCCAGATATTCAGAGCTGAACTTTGTGTCAGAATGATATTTGTTGGGTGATGATTATTCAAAAGAATTAACTTTTTGTCACAGGTGTGCTGACAGAAGACATTGCCCAATTTGGAAATAGCTGGGCTGTGGAACTGCCGCATGACAATCACTGTGAAACCGTCGAAGAAGATTTTCCTAGTCCTTGCAAAAGGGAGTCTGATATGGAAGTAAGCTGTATTGGCTTCAAACACAATATATTGGCTTTCTCAGTTGTTAAACTGAAATATGCTCAATGAAAGACTTATAGAAAAAAGACATCCCATTCTATTTTTTTTTAATCTGGAAGCTCTGTTTGAATTTATTGCTACGCAGTTTAAGGAGGGCATTTTTGTCTGAAATCAAAATTACTGAAAACAAATTAGTTTAATTTATTTAGACCTTGTCTACAAAATGAGAACTGTCATTGATTTTATCCTTTATTCTCACTACCAATGCATAATCTTAGAAAACCAAAGTAATGTATTTTAATGTATTTTTTTATTTCTTGATGTAATATCGGGGCTAGCACTGATTGTGCCACTGATGTGCAAAAGATACAGCCATAGATGAAGTACAGTCAGTTTGCAAACAGACTTGTTTGCATGCTGGAACCAATAAATTCAATTGGGATGGATCTGAACACAAAAACATTTATATAGTCAAGCAGTATTGAACATCAGTAGTATTCAAGGGCTAAGGGTTCAGAAACCCAATTAATGGCATAACAGTGAGAGTCATCCAACACCTCCTGCAAGTTGCCATGATCATATTTGTAAGGAAACCTTTCAATAATAATGGTTAATCCTAAATAATCATCATCATTATCAATAATGTATAAATCCTTTAATTCTATTATTAAGTACTTGTCTGTTCTCTTGGTTTTGAACAGGATGCTTCTGAGAAGTGCAGTGCCCTCCTGTTTTTCCCCTTCCTCTCCTGTCATGACAACATTGATCCCAACCCCTATGTCGCCAGCTGTGTCAGTGACCTGTGTGTGTAAGTCAGCATATTGTTCTTAAGCCTGTTCTTTAGGCTACCCTCAGTCCTGCTTAATATTTGCTCCCCCCACCTCATCATAGTATTTTTTGAGGGCTATAACTTGTCATAGTTGTAAACTTTAATCTGCTCATTAATTAAAACAACCTATGTCCACCTTGTCTCAAATCTGGCTCCACCTCAATGCAGATATTTCCCAGGAGAGCTTTTTCCAATGAAGGGATTATATCTATTGAGGAAAATAATTAAATGGCCTCTTGGGCTGCTTCAAAGCCTGAAATCATAAAGGAATGCTAGTTTGTTGCTGATTGAAACCTTTTCAAAACGTCTGATGGCCGAAGAATGACTGAGAGAACAAAGCATGTGGAATTTGTGCGTAGACGTTTTAGCCATTTCTTTAGCCACGTTGGCAGTGGTCTGCGTCAAAGGTGTGGCGGCTCACAGCCCTGACAAATGAAAGCAGCCCAGGGCCCTCATCGGCAATGACCTTGGCAGCAATGTGAAGCCTAAATGAAAAGCAGTCAGTTCGTGTGCAAAAAAAAAAACAAACACTGCATACTTCTTTGAGTAGGTGGTTCACTCACAGAAGGGAACCATGCAAAGAGAAGTAGAGACAGGTCTTATATCTGCTCAGTGTGCTCTGCCTGCTTTGTTGATATGACCTTAGCTTTTGGTAGTTTCTTAAGCACTAAACTGTATCCCTACAATTATAAACTGACAGATGTAGAATAAAAAATAATACTGATAAACTAGTAAATAATGCAGTACTTAGAGAATATGTGCAGTGTTTTAATCACTAGACTTAAGGGTTATAGAGACTGTCGGTGAAGTTTGTTTAGCACAAGCTCTGAGGCATTTAATAATAATTGCTTACATTTATATAGTGCTTTTCTGGACACTCCACTCAAAGTGCTTTGCAGGTAATGGGGATCCCCTCTACCACCACCTATGTGCAGCATGCACCTGGATGATGCGACAGCAACCATAGTGTACCAGTCTGCTCAACACACATCAGCTATTAACGGGGAGGAGAACAGAGTAATGAAGACTGTTCATAGATGGGGATTATTAGGAGGTCATGATTGATAAAGGCCTGGGGAAAATTTGACCAGGACAGCCCTACTCTTTTCAAGAAACACCCTGGAATTTTTTGTAATAGCCACAGAGAGTCAGGACCTCAGTTTTACATCTCTTCCGAAGGACAGTGCCGTTTTACAGTATAGTGTCCCAGTCACTTTACTGTGGTATTCGGACCCACGCAGACTGCGGGGTGAGCACCACTTACTGTGGTCCCACAGATCCCACTGTGGTCCCATGTTTGTGGGACCACCACTTAGTGGTCCCACTAACATCTCTTCCAGCAGCACCTTAGTTTTCCCAGGAGGTCTCACATCCAGGTATTGACCAGGCTCACACCTGCTTAGCTTCAGTGTGTTACCAGTTGTGAGCTGCAGGGTTATATAGCTGCTGGTACATTTGTAAATGTAGTTCATTTTCTGGTCACATATAATCATGTTAAATGCCAATTTGCTTCATTGCGTTCGTATAATGGTTTGAATAATGGTTTGAATGAGAGGAGGCCATTTGATTCATCTAGTGCATTTGGTAGTTAGTAGCTAATAGATCCAAGAATCTTATCAAGTTGTTTCTTGATAGAAACCAGGGTATCTGCTTAAACAACTTGATTGTTTAGCTGGTTCTGTACACTGATAGACTTATTGGTAAAGTGCCACCTGTTATCGGTTTTAAATATACGTCCAAGTACAGTTCTTTTGGTTTGTCAATGTAGGTCATTCCCTTAAGCCCTAGAATGTTGCTGTTCTTTGGACTGATTCCAGAGCAGTAGTGTCTTTCTTACAGTATATTGTGTTGATGAAAATTGTACGCTATTATTACTACTATATTATTACTATTATTGCAACTATTGTAGAACCTTTTAGTTGCTTCCCCACATTGCATAGAAGATTTAAACAATGTGTCAGTTATGAACACCTTAGTCTTTTTCATAAACACCTTCTTCTGTCTAAGCATTTCCATTGTATAGTTTATGTTTTTGTTACCTGCATGTAAAACCTTGCACTTGAATGCATTGTGTGTCATTTGCCAGATATTTTCCCATTCTTGGATTGTATTTATTTTTTAATTTTCTTTTTATCATGCAATGCAACTGTGTTTGCTAGTCCTTTTAATTTGGCACAAACGTAACTGAACCAAAAATAAGGTCATTGATATTGTTACATCCCAGTGTGTGGTTTGTGTGTTTTTGGTTTTTTTTGTTCCAATCAGACTGCATCTTATTCACTATATAACATGGAGGTTTTCTGAAGGAAGGGCCTTTCGTTTGACTTCGGTCCTGTTTGGTTTTGCTTTGCTTCATTTCGCCTTGGTTATCACTTCGTTTTGCTTTTGCTTCAGCTTTGTTGGTTTGTTGTTTTGCTTTGTGTGTGTGTATTTTCGTTTAGCTTCAGCTTTGTTCTTTTGTTGGTTTCTGTTGGTTTCTTTGTACTTTCATTTGTTTGTTTGTGTTTATCCTTGTTTTGCCATTACCTTGCCCTGACGTGTTACATGTTCAACCTTTGTGTTCTCTTGTACCCTGTTCCTGTTGATTACTCTCGTTTTCCCTTATTTATATTCCTAGTTCACTTGTGTCTTCGTGTGAACTTTTGTGTATAAGGTTAGTTTAGGTTGTTGGTTACATTCTACACACTTAGTTGATTTTGTAGTAGTCACACTAGTTTAGTACGGGTGAGTGCCATTTTGTCTTGTATGGTTTTGGGTAGTCAGTGGAGGTTAGCTAGGGTGTTGAAGACGCCGAAGACCGTGTGTTTTGGGTTTTCTTTTGTAGTCAGATTAGCTGTCCCTCACTTTCCTTGCCAGCTCCACTTAGTTTTTTTCTTTTCTTTGGCACCACTCTAGTTCCCTTACCCCTGTGTGTTATCGTGTCTTACCAGTCACTTGTTCAACTTAAAATCATCACTTTTGCACCCACCGTTGTCATCACGCTTCCTAGTCCCTCACCAGAGCCCACCTGCTTCCAAAATAATTATCCTAAATCTTACACCCCTGTACCCCTAGACACTTGGGGTCGTAACAGATATACATTAGGAAGAGCATGGGTACTAGTATAGATCACTTTGTCACACTGCTAAGGACCCCAATTTGAGTATACTAATCTCACAAACTTTTTTTAACAGGTCAGATGATGACGACACAATCTGTCGAGCTCTAACAGAATATGCCAGGGCCTGTTCCCATGTGGGCTATCCTGTGCGCGAATGGAGGGAGAACTTCCCTGCTTGCAGTAAGTAAATCATTCGCCATCCAGTCTGGGAAGACAGTGCTTTATGTACAGAAAGCTTTTCTAATAACTACTTGGTATGAAAAGTAACTTTCAAAGATAATTATTTTGTTGTCCATTGTCTTGCAACTAAAACTAGGGGATGCACATCCTGGCCTGGCAAGGAATAGTTGGTGAGCACTGAGATCAAATCAAAACGTGGAGATACTAGCACATTATTTTCTGTGTAAAAAATGTATTTTGAATTGATTTGGTTTGCTAATTGGGTGTCATGGTGGTGCAGTTGTTAGCATTCCTGCCTCGCTGCGCTAGGGCTCTGGGTTCTGTTCTGGACTGGTGGTGCTGTCTGTGTGATGCTGTTTGTATGTTTGTCTTGTGTTTGCATGGGTTTCCTCTGTGTGATTTGGTCTCCTCCCATAGTCCAAATATATTTTTTTCTATCAAAATACATTTTATTTAAAAGAAAAACATCTCACAATCAGTACACGTTCTAATAAAATATCAAACTATCATCAAATAAGAAACTTTCCAAATGAGGTGATTGTCCATTATCAATCAGTGCAAGTGGATGATGGAGCTGTATTTGTGCAATTAAAGAGTCTCTCCAAGCCCTACCACTTGTCCAGGCCATTTTTTGTCCAGGCCATTTGTCCTGGCTCTGAAACTGCAGAGCAGCAGCTCAGGGGACAGGGATTTGCACTTTTGTCCCTGTACAGGGCCCAAAGTCCCTTCCAGCACTCCCTCGCCGTGGAGAAACCCCATTAGGCGACGTCGCACTTCATCCTCCCTCTGAAGTCCGCTCCCCACTCTGTGTTGTGCCTTGTTTGATCAGGGACACCAGCAGCCAAAGCAAGTACTGTGTCCCTTTGTCCAATCTGGTAGGTGCTAGCCCCAGTAGGATGCTCTGGTATCCGAGCACTGTTCTCACTCCCAGGAGTTGCATGGTGTTGTCCATTCTGCCCCACACCGCTTTGACCACTTTCCATCAGCTTTGGTGTTCCGGGGGCAGTGCGGATTCCTGGTGATCGAGTGTCTGTATAGAACCTCTCTGGTCACCAGCCTGTTGTGCACGGCCATCCAGTTAAGGTTCTTTAGTGTGTTGTCTAGTGCTTTTGGCTGCGTCCTTTCCCAGACTTCTCTGGGAACCCGCAGCCTTTCTCCGGTAACCAGCTGTCCACTCACCTCCTTGTAAAGCAGGGCTCTGTGGTTGGTGTAGAGCTCTGGCTGTCTAGTGGCCTCGTACCTCTGGCTCCACTTGACAGCATGGGTGAAGGCCTCTAGTCGCCTGTCTGCTTTTGGTCCGGTGTTTGCCCACTGGACCAGGTGCCTCATCGGGAAGGAGAACCACAGCCTGACAAAGTCCTGGTACTTGTGGCTGATGGGTTCCTGCAGCGCCCAGCAGAGGTTGCAGAATAGGATGGTTTCAGGGGGAAATGCGGCACATCTATTCCCCCTTCCTTGACCGGCTGGCACATCCAGTTTCTTGTGTTGTACTCGTACCTGCCTCCAGACGAAATTGAAGACCATCCCTTGCAGCGCTAGTCTGAGTCTGGTTGGCAGCGGGTACACCACAATCAGATCCAAAGATATACTAGTGGGTTGATTGGCTTCTGGGACAATTGGCCCTAGTGCATTTCTGTGTGCATGTGTGTGTCTGTGTGTGCAGTGTGATGTGTCCCATCCAGGGTGTATCCTGCTTTGAACCCACTGCTTGCCAGGATAGGCTTCAGTTCCCCGTGACCCTGTATTTAATAAACTGGCAAGACAATGTGTATGGTTTGTTAATTAAAACCACTTCTAATCATGGAATAAATTATTGATTAAACTGTTGATTATTCTGTCTCATTTGGAATACAGCTGATAACTATATTGACAGATCACATCCAAACCTGACTCAAATCTCATCATTCCTCCAGTAATGTCCATTATTATGGATTGGTTGTTTATATTAATTTTCTCTGCTTCTTTGACAAGAGATCGATGTTCTGACAAATATTATCTTAGGGACGTGAATGTTGCCTGAAACCCACAAATGCAATGCATTTAAGATAAGACAACTTTATTAGTCATATGCAGTTTCTTTCATTACGAATTTGTCTTCTCACATTCCCCAGCTTGCTCTCCATGAGACACACAGACAGGGAGAGAAGCTTGGGGTCAGAGCGCAGGGTTAGCCATTTATACAGCGCCCCTGGAGCAGTTGGGGTTAAGGGCCTTGCTCAGGGTCCCAACGGAGTAGGATGTCTCTTAGCCCAAGTGACTCCACTCCGCTCATTTCAATGAAAAGAAAACATCCAAATCCCAGGTGACAAGGAATGCTCTTCTCTTAAATAGGACAGAGGCCACGTACACAGCACTGATTATGGTGAACATGCAGTTGGAAAATGAACACCCCTAGGCCAGCAATCTTAAATTTCTGTTATTTGCAAGTATTATTTACCTCACCAACCTATCCTGTGAATAAAAATAAACCATGGTACAATGAAAGTCCTTTACTTCAGAGCTGTGTACTTCTGCTGAAATCTATTAGTGCCTTGATCTGAATTTGGCCTGATTCGCTCCAGTCACCTTCTTTGTTATGTGATGTGTTCATCTTAACAGTAATTAGATAAACGTTTGTCTGTGCACTTAAAAAGTATGTTCAGTGTTTTCTTACAAAACCGAGGCGGGGATGCTGGAAATGTTTTGTGAACAAACTGAGCTTCATTTCAGTATGCTACTGCAATACACTATACTATTGGGCCTGAGCATGTGAAATGACAAAGAAATGATCTGTGAATTTTTCAGCGGATGGTTGTGAGGATAGTTTCGTTCACCGAGACTGTATCAGTTGCTGTCCGCCTACCTGCACATTTGAGACGGAATGCCTGGGAAGCAATCTGCACTGTCTGGATGGCTGTTACTGCCCTGATGGTAATCATATCTCTTATTAACACAGCAATTCATAAATCCAAGACACAAATATGTAATGTATATACACATTTATTGTGGAATCCATATGTGCTATGAATTGTTTTACATAATTAGGAAGCAGAGGGTTAAATACTGTACATATATTTTAGGTGGCTATTTTCCAGTTAGTACCTTCACTCTTTAAAGTTAGTTGATAATTTTAGCTCAACTAAATAGTCTTTGCCTTTATGTGAACCTCAATACAAATGTTCTTACACTGAGAGGTCTTCACTAATACATAGAATTAGTGGTTAGAGTGGAAGCACATTAGATATCCCTAGTATTTGGGTTATATCAGAATTTTATGACTGTTTACAACATCATTGATAATATGTTAATAGTTCGTTTATATTGACAGATATAAAGGAGCATATAAGATATATGATTGCTGTTTAAAAGAAACAATAAAAGAAACATTATTGATATGGAAAAAATACATACTTATTCCTGGATTTTTAATTGTTTTCTGCCAGGTCTTGTTTTGGAGAATGGGACGTGCATCTCAGTAGCAAATTGCCCCTGTGTGTATCATGGTACTGCTTACCCTCTTGGACATATTTTGGAACAGGGCTGCAGCACATGGTAAGATGGCTCTTGAATGGATCTTTGCAAAAGCCTTCTTAGAAAAGACCCGTAAAGAATTAATTTGTTCTGGAACATTGTAGTCACACAATCACATCTGTATGCTGCAGGGCACTAGGAGAAATATAGAAATTGGACAGGGCTGCAATTTAATGAATAGTTCCAAAACCCCACAAAATTGCGATGGAGAAAAGATATGGCCATATAGGAATGCATTTCTTATTCAATGGGAAAATTATTGATTGTGAATTACAATGTGATTATAATTAGCTAAAGATCACATTTGGGGCTGAAATAATACAATAATGCTCAACAAAATATACAGTATTTGCTGAAAAACTAGTCAATAGGAATCTGCTAATCAGGCAGCTGTGCTACAGTAGGAAAGCAAAAAAATGAACATATAAAAACATAAGCCTTTTTTTCATACGTTTCTGGTGGAAATGGTAGAAACAATCTTTTATGCACACTCATTTTGATTTTAATTGTTATAAATGAGAAATATGGTGTTTTAATCACAAATGTCATGCTTTCAGCATTTGCAGTGGCGGTGTATGGAACTGCACAGAGAACAATTGCACAGGTAACAAACCTTTATTTCTTTCCAAGCATGTGAATTAATTGGTCCTGTTTTGCCCATAATAAGGTCTCATTATTTTAGAAAACATAAAAGACAAAAAAAGTATTGGCAATCATTGACTAACAGAACCTTTCGTGATTAATCCCAATGAGATTTACTCCCTACAGGCAGAATTGTGAAACAAATGGCAAAAGGCAACTCCCATCTCATGATGCAGTTAATGAATGATCAATCCACTGCAAGCATCTGTTTTTTTTTTTTACATAGTGTACATATCATAAAAACTTATTACACAGTGTACTGTCTTGTGTTGTAGCGGAGTGCTCAGTCACAGGTGACTCTCATGTAACCTCCTTTGATGGGCGGATCTTCATGCTTCACGGTAGCTGTCAGTATGTCCTGGTGAAGAGCTGGAGAACCTCCAAGTTCACTCTGACATTACAGAACATGCCCTGCGGTGAGGTAACACAAACTCATATGATACAATAAGACAAAAAATGTGACTCAGATTCAAACCATTGCAGTTTCAGCTTGTATGGATCTATTTTATTGTTTCTGAATAATCTATGCTGCTGTAACTAACATTAGTTTATTAGTTTATTGGCAGATGTGAATGTGGTAGAGACTTCCATATGTTATCAGCATTAATAAGCAAATCATGTGGACAAGACACCCAAATGGACATGTAAGACTAAAATAAATCTGTGATTTTCTTCAGAAAACGAAAAATAATCATAATAATTGCTTACACTTATATAGCGCTCTACTCAAAGCGCTTTACAGGTAATGGGGACTCCCCTCCACCACCACCAGTGTGCAGCCCCACCTGGATGATGCGACAGCAGCCATAGTGCGCCAGAACGCTCACCACACATCAGCTATCAGTGGGGAGGAAAGCAGAGTAAAGAAGCCAGTTCATACATGGGGGATTATTAGGAGGCCTTGATTGGTGAGGGCCAATGGGAAATTTGGCCAGGATGCCAGTATCAAAATCAAAAAATGATTTTGATACTGGCATTGCAGGCCATCTGATAATTTGTCTGAGGCAGAAGATGTGTTTTTAAATACCAGATGGTGCATAGCCCACAGTGTAACACCAACAAATCAGCCAAACTCATTTGTTAAAATGTTTGCAGACTGGTGAAAACTAGGAACTTTATGTAGAATACTTAACCAAAAGGGAGTGCACACCCTGCAGTCTGTGTGAATCCTAATGCCTTGGTATACTGATTGGGACACTATATAAAATATATAATATAAAATATGTATATAAAACGTGCTGTCCTTCAGATGAGAAGTAAAATCAAGGTCCTGACTCTCCATAGTCATTAAAAATCCCAGGGTGTTTCTCAAAAAGAGTAGGGGCCTTAAACTGGTTTCCTGGCTAAATTTCCCATTGGCCTTTACCAATCATGGCCTCCTAATAATCCCCATCCATGAACTGGCTTCATTACTCTGTTCTCCTCCCCATTGATAGTTGTGTGGTGAGCAGACTGGCACACTTTGGCTGCAATCACATCATCCAGGTGGGGCTGTATATTGGTGGTGGTGGAGGGGAGCCCCCATCACCTGTAAAGTTCTTTGAGTGGAGTGTCCAGAAAAGTGCTACTGTTTATACAGTAAGTGTAAGTGTGAAGAATGATTAGTATCATTAAGAAGCTTGAGCTGCAGATGCATTGTCATAATAGAACTGCCAAGATAATATTATGTAGAATTGGCACAATAATAAAATATTTTTTGTGAATCAAGGTAGATGAATGGTCATCAACTAAAACCTAAATTATTTTGCAATAAAGAGGAGAAGCAAAACATTTGTGGTTTGTTTGGATGGTTTTGGAAGATTGGAACAAGCTAACCAGCAATGATAGAAAATCCAATACCTACATTTTTTTTCAAGAAATGATAAGAAGAGAGGGGGCAGCACAGTGATTAGCATTACTGCCTCATAGCACTGGGGCCCCGAGCTCAGTTCCTGTCTTCGTGAAGTGTGTATGTTCTTTCTGTGTTTGTGTGAGTTTCCTCCAGGTACTTTGGCTTACTCCCACAGTCCAAAGACATGCTACTAGGTTAATTGGCTTAGTAGGTTAACTGGGAAAATTAGCCAGTCTCTGCTGGTCCTGCCTCATGTGTGCCGTAATAAAAAAATAGTGGGTTTAAAATAGCAGAGAAACTACAGGTGCCCTAAAGATACAGGGGAAGATATATGCTTGAAATAACAAACTAAAGCAATTTCAGGTCTGTTATTGGTGAAGGTATGAGGAAACTAAAATGGTATTTCAAGTAAGTTTCAAAGTTTGAATGTAAGTAAATCAATCGTCCAATTCAATTTTTATTTACAGATTTCCTACTTTTATAAGTAATATTAAAGTACTTGTTCTACAGTATGTTATGTCAACATTTGTCTTATGAGCTTGGAATTGAAAACTGTATAATCAAGATCACTCATTAATAAGCAACCAGGTTTGTTTTTTATGACTTTCATTTAAACATTTTTTGTCTTGATTATGTAAAATTGTGCAACAATGTAATTGTAGATTTTTTGGAATGAATACAAGCATTTTTTTATGTCTTAACTTTTTTGAAGAATACAGGGTGTGGACATTTAATAATACTAAAGATTTATTCCATGAATAATTCTGTATCTCTTTTGCCTCCAAAATGTGTATTTTAACTGTTTTAGGAAAGGTGAAAGCTTTAATTGAGCCTGAGGTGTATTTAACACTATATAAGATTCTGAACTATCATATATCATGTAAAACTAAGATGTGTTACAAACTCCATGTGATGTAAATGCAGGGAATCATAGTCAGACTGCTTAGAATGTCATTAATGTCATATACAGTATTTATGGTGTCTTTTAATTTCTGCTGTTTCTTAAAAACTGCTGCTGTTCTGCTGTTTCTTCAAAACTAAAATAGGGGAAGACTTTTCACTTTAAGGAACAAAAACCTGATAAATGTGATATTTTTCTTTCCTTTCACGCTATTTTGCTTGTTTCGTAGTCTCTGGAATACTCTTGCATACAGTCTATAACACTGGTGGTAGATGAAGATGTGAACAGGCAAGTGACTCTCACCAGAGAAGGCGAGATTCTAGTTGGAGTTAATCAGGCTGCAAACCTGCCCTACTCCGATGGTAAGATACTGCTGTGGCTTCATCCTTTATGGATCACTGTGTCTCCAGTACCCTGCAGTAACTGCAGAAAATGCTGTTAGAGTAATAATAATCTGTTATTCATCACTCTGAGGAAAACACATCATCCTTGAGAGGTCAGAAGTTTAAAATGTGTGATTTTTAAAAAATGAGGTGTTCCAAAAGTAAATACTGTATGCATATTGTACAGTGTATGCTCTCTTCAAGGAGCACCTTCTTCATGTGTTTTGGGAATGTATAGATATTACATTTTACAAATGGGTGTCTGGCTCTCCCCTACTTCTCTCGTTAAGTGATAACTGAAGTCTTGGCCTCATGCGATGGCAGCAACACATTTGCTTGGCTGGTCTCACTGCTGCTGAACAAATGTTGGCACACTATGAAGAGACACCACATTCCCTCAGACATCCCTGGATCCTGCCCCATTTTGATATCTTTTGAATGGAGCTCTCTGCCATGCAGATCCATGGTACCAGGGAGAGATAGCAAAGACTTGGAGTCCTGCTACTGATGTGGTCAAATCCTTATTGCACGGTGCTTCTGTCTTAGCTGTCTGATTCTTGGGCAGGAATGTTATTGTGTAACAATTGGTGTGTTTAACAGTACTGTATATTAGATTGTGCTTTGCTCTTGTTTCATAAATTACATTAAAAGAGCCCAATTATGTGGATGCAGACTGATTAATATATAAAAAAAACACAATAGTTTTCTTAAAAGTGAAGAGCATTGAAATGCTTTTGGATAATTAATTATTTTGGAAAAGAAGTGTTCTTAAGGGAGAAATGTCTTTCTACTGTATAAGAAAGATCTTCAACCAAGGAGTGCTGTCTGTATTAACATGGTTTTGAAACCTGAATACAAAAAGATACAGAAACAGAAAACAGTTCATAAAATAAATGTAAGCTTGGATCAGTAAGAAGAGACAAATAATGAAAGAGTTAGAATGCTACAGAAGAGTAAGTTATTGGGAAAATTTGAGAAATTGCATGTTGTGGCTACAGCTCATTGTCTGCATGTTTACTTGCACATTGTCTATTGTTTGTTTGTACATTGTCTTGATGCACTGTTTGCACTTTGTTTTTGTTTTTTTTACACTTGTTTTACAATCGAGAGACTTTCTGTAAGTAAGAATTCCATTGTACCAGCACCGGTTACATATGGCAATAAAGTTCAAGTTCAAGTTCAAGTTCAAGTTCATGTGGTTTGGGAAAAAACTGCAAAAAATGCAAAATAGCCATGTTTATTATGGTAAAAAGCCACAGAAAATGATTGGATAATGTTTTATTTTTGAGAATTGGGGCAACACAGTAGCTTGCAGTTGGTACTGCTACCTCAGAGCTCCAGTACCCCAGGTTTGATTGGCTGAAAGCAGGTAGAGATGTAGGATTACAGCTTATATCTGTGTGGAGGAAGCATGTGATCACTGTGTTTGCCCACCCAATCTTGCCTTGGTAAAATCCGTGGACAGTGTTGGGCAAAGATCTCTATAATTCTACATCCCTACCAGTTTTCAGCCATGGATACTTTCTGTGTGTGTACACCATTTCAGAATTTCCCCTTCATTTCCATGATGTTGGGTGTTTTCTGGAAAATCCCCATTGTACAAGTGAAGAGATTAAAATGTCAATTGACTTTGCCACATAGCAAGCAAAATGGATTATTGTTGGACTTAGAAAAAACTGGAACATATCCCAGAAGACCAAAATGACCACAAAAGGTCATTTTCATTCCTAGTGTGATTTCATAACATGAAAAACTAAAGGTGAACCTCCCAGCTTCCCAGTCTCCCTTTCTCTCATTCAGCCATTGTGTTAACAATTCATTTTGGTGTAATTGTTATAATGATATTTATTAACACAACACACACTGAAAGGAAGATGGTGCAGTGGTTAGCATATCTGCCTAGCAGTGTGAAGGCCCTGGGTTCAATTCCTTTGTGGAGTTTGTATGTTTTTTTCTAGGTGCTTTTGTTTTCTTCCACAGTCCCAAGACATACTAGGAGGTTAATTGGCTTCTGGGGAATTGGCCCTGGTGTGAGTGTGTGTCTCTGCCTGCCCTGCAATGCACTGCTGTCCTTTCCAGGGTGCATCCTGCCTTGTGCCTGTTGCTTGTTGGCCGAGCCCCTGGCTCCTCTTTGATCCTGTATTGGATACAGAAGATGGATTGTTATTGAAAGTACCGTCACTCTAGAGATAATCTGTTTTCAACTTTTTGAGTTACATGTAGAAGCAGAAAGCAATTAGCCTTTTTGCAGCCGTATTCTGAATCATGATTTTTTATGTAATAACAAAAAAATACCAATTTGTCTGTTTTCTTGTGCAGATACCATCGAGATACGGAAGTTGACCGCCCTGTTCACACAGCTGAAGACTAGCTTTGGGTTACGGATCCAGTTTGACAGGAGTGGGGGGAGGCTGTACGTGGTGCTTGACAGTAGCTGGAAGGGTGGGACAGTGGGTCTGTGCGGCACCTTCAATGGGAATTTAAGAGATGATTTCCTGTAAGTCCCTTTGCGCTCTGAGCACAGTTTGTGTGGTTTTCATCCTGAGCAACTATAATGTCATTCCAAAAGTGTGAGAACAATGATTATTTGACATTATTTTGTGTGATCAGTCTACTGCATCAACGATTATGATTTGTTGTTAATCATGGATTTGAGTTGATGCTTGGAAAGTATGTTCTGTTGGTAAGAAATGACTAATTGCCTTAGCTAATTCTTACCATGAAAATCCTAATTTAGTTAATGGAAACTGTAATAAAGACTCTCTCATAATTCTGCAAAGATAAATATTGTCATTTATCTGGCATATTAGGCTGAACAGATGTTTTCTGAAATTCCTCAGAATATTTTGTTTTTTACAAAGCAGGTCATCATGTAATAATTATAATAATTGCTTACACTTATATAGAAAATCATAGCCGACCCCCATAGTTTGAAGCACTTTCTCTTCGCTGTGTGTTATTTGTACAACTTGGTTATCACTGTGTATCAACTGATAAGTGATAAGTGTATTTAAGGTTGATAAGTGTATTTATACAATGTTTGCCACTCAATAGTTTGCCTTCATTGTACAGAAACGTGGTACTAGTAAGGTGAGCCTTGTAGTGCAAAAGACAACCTTTTGAACAAATAATTTTAATGATAAGAAACACCTGATGATGAGTCAGTGAGATTTGATTGGTAAATTGATTGATTATCTACATTTTATATTGGCTACTCATACATTGTTTATATTGAGTTGTTGTGAAAAGACTTTGACCAAAGAGAATTATAAATTGCTTAATGACAAACCTGTAATATTGATTTTTACAATTCCTCCTAATATTAGTTCATCAGTAGTTGTATTTTTAAAGGACACATTATATCTACTGATTTGAAAATGCAACTGGTTGAACTAATGTTTTAGATTAGTAATAAAAAGATACAGGGGCACAAAATTAAGTTGTAGTCCACGTATTTTTAAAAGCATTTTTGAAGCAATATAACATATTTAAATTGAAACTTGATGAGCTAAATAACTTTGAGGTAAATATTCTGAAAATGGTCTTTGATGTTTTGTGTTTTAAAAGATGCCTCCTTCTAGCAAGAAATTCTAGAGTTTCAATTGCGATTTAAAGCTTTGTGAGTTTCCTGTAGTGTCTCTATTAGTATTGTGACTTTATACTGGAAGTCTTTTCTGTTGTGACTATTATTTATTGCTTTATTTAGTGAAATACATTTCAATATTTAAGAGAAGCAATGATCGACTGAAATTAAAAGAGATATTAAGAAATAGAGCGGAACAAATAAGCTCCAACACCTACATTCTGAAAATGTTAAGCAATTTCTTCATAATCGCATGTAAAATGTTTGAATTGGCAGCAAAAATCATTCTATGATTAATCTTGTTGATTGGAGAAAAATTTAAGCAATGACACCTTGGACAATCCTCCAGATCTAAAAGAGCATTTTGAAAGCTGTAATGAGAAATCAAAGTGCCTCTTTACTGAATCATCTCCTGGCATGTCTTGGACACTATTCATATCAATGTCTTTGTCATTCTCCTTCAACAGCTCTTCAAAAATTCCTCTGGGATTCACATAGTATTTGATTGTCTTAAGAAAATCTGTAGGTCCATCTGGCATTTGCTTTATGTTTTTCCCACCATACTTATGGCTGAATCCGATCTTGTTCGTAATCCGACTGGTTTTTTAAGTGACTCACATTTGCAGTGGCCAAACACTTAAAAACAATGATCATTTAAACTATATATACAGTATATCTAGTATACTAGGTCTTCAGGGTCTGTACTAAATCTCAGCGCACTATTAATGATAAGAATGTGTGAATGTGTGTTTTCTGCATTTTTGAGTGTGTTTAAAATAAAAAAAATCAAGATGTTGTAGAGCTATGCAGCCATGTTACTGAACTTGATGTCCTGATTCTTGAGATCAAATGCCTATTAAGTGTAAAAGCCCCGATTTGTAACTGTCTTATGTTCTAATATTCTTTAATATTCTTTAATGTTCTTTCACAATACAAGCATTGTCAAATACAGTATGTGAATTGCTGTTAAACATAACTTGTATTTTAAACTGTTTCAGATCACCATCGGGAATGATTGAGGGTACTCCTCAACTTCACATCAATGCATGGAAGGTCTCGTCTGCTTGTACAAGCCCAGTTAATATTCCCATCATTGATCCTTGTGAAATGAACCAGCAAAATGGTACATTTTTAATTGTACTAGGGGAATATGTCTCTTTGGAATAAGTAGTTGCTCTTTCACAGAAGAACTGTTGCCCCCATTTGCTGGAGAAAAAAAATTACTGTATATTACAAACATTTTTAATATTGAGTTTATCTGACAGATGTTTTAAGAGAAAGTGGCTTAATTTTAAAATCTTAAGCTCTTAGAAGGCTTTCTAATAGCTGTGTGTGTTGTAGTTTTCTATGCCTCGCAGTGTGACTTCATCAACGAAGACCTGTTCGCCCCATGTCACTCCTACGTCAGTCCCAGCATCTATTTCCAGCAGTGCCGATTCCAAGCCTGCAGATGTGGGAGTAACTGCCTGTGCACTGCTCTTGCACACTATGCGTATGTCTGTGCCAAGCACAAGGTTGTCATCAAATTTAGAGCACACGTCTCTGAATGTGGTAAGTGAAACAGCTTGGAAAAAAGGCACACATTGTGGATTGTGGCTTACCACTTCTGAACCCTTTTTCACAAAGTGAAATAACTAAAATTGATCTACTGTTTAATTTTGTACTGTTTGTACGTTACTGTTAAACTTTGAGGATACAATCTATATTTCTTAAACTCCTATTAGTTTTTCATCAATTGATTTCATGTTACCATTGTTCAAGGAAAACTGCTTTGGTTTCTAATGAAGAATTCAATGGCTTATGATCAAACAGCTTTCAAGACTGATGTTTAGCTCCAGCAGTAGCATTGCCACCTTGTAGCCAGAACTCGTCCCTGTTCAATACTGGGAGGGTGGAAATCAAAAGAAAACCAGCTTGTTACTGCAGGTGGAGTTGGTGGCACATGAGGTTTAACTATTCGATCTGCTGCAGCAAGATGAACATGTGCAGTAAGAGTTGCTGTCCTGCAGATGAGACGTTTAATTGTTTTCAAGGGTCCCATGACACTTTTCAAAACAGTAGTGGTGTTGTTCTTGGACACCTGGGTAAGCTCTACTCTGATCTTATACAATCTGGCCTCCCTAAACTTACCTGTTAATTCAACTGCTGAAATCTGTCACGTCTTTGTGATCTGTCTGATCTAATGTGTAGGAAGCTGCCGGTGCATTAATGGAGCTTTGAGATTTTTTGTAATGAACAGCATATATTGGGAACTATACAAATACCATTGGTTATTGATTATTATAATAATCTGCTGCCCTGTAGGAGGGACTCAGGTTTTCACTGGTTAGGATGAACTGTCAAAACTGAATCTATTCTTTTAACAGAAGTTTTAATTATATTACTTCCATATCACTGTACATTATTAGTACTTCAGTCTGTTACAGCAATCTGGAAATGTTCAAATGAATAATACTTCATGAAGGGCAATATTTAAAAAGAAAAAGATGGATGCATTCACGACAAGTTGCATAGATATACGCAAGCACCTTTGTTTTTGAACAGTGGACCATAACTGTTGTTACATTGGGCAAACAGGAATCTCTCTATCTTTGGTGCAATGTTCTGCATGCAGGTATGGTGTGCCTGGGTGGAATGCAGTATCACACCTGCACGTCGACTTGTGGAAAGACATGCCAGTCCCTCTCTAGCGATGACCACTGTGATGAAGACTGCGCAGAGGGCTGCAACTGCTCTGAAGGGGCATACTACGATGACATCCGGCAGCGCTGTGTCACAGTGTAGGCATCTACAGCTTCCACAGAATCGCCCTCCTCATGTGATATGAACAGTAGTCATCTTTTAAGGGGATGTCACCATGAGAGTGGGGCCCAAGGATGTATACTGCTGACAGGAGGCATGTGCTCCGATCAGTGGTTTGTCAAGCATGCTCATTGCTGAAGTAGAGGGTACACTGGTTGGGTTTTGTAAAACACTGTTGGATTTAGTTGATAACCCTCTGTTGCAGTGTGTAAAGTTTATTTTTTCATTTGTTTTGAAAGGATCTGTGATGACGAGGCCTTTTGAAGACTTTAAAAACGTTAAAAAATGGTTAAAAAAACGATGGAATCAAAAAGAATATGATCATTATGATATTATGCCTGTATTTCAAAAATGTTTTTCCTTCTAACAGCACTTTATTTAAAAACGGTACAGGCATTTACCATTCCTGACAGCATACAGTGTCATGATCATTTTATCTAACCATTTCTTTGGAATAAGCGGTGAACAAAAGTATTAAAATTACAAAGCAAATTGCATAGCAGTGGAATACATTTTAATAGAACAGAGCAGAAGCATAATACTTCTTTTTGCTTGCAGTTCCCAATGCCACTGCTACTTCATGGGCTCCGTGTACCAGCCTGGAGAAGTTTCTTTCAGTGCATCCGGCCCCTGGTAATTAACGTTCTTCATGTCTAAAATATGATTTTAATGGCTTCATCCCACCTGTCTAATCTTGAATTGTATTCTGTATTATTAAACTTTCTGTCATTGTTTCATATAGGCATCATATTATTTAATAATTCGAGAATTATTGATGGTTGAGAATACGTTTTCAGCCCATTATTTTAATCACTGAAGTTTAGTATGCTGTGCAAAACAAATTGACTCTTAATGTTTACAGACCTAGTTCATTTTCTCATTTTCTTAGAATTGTTATGATGCCATTTACGGTATATGTTTGCACCATGTGTTTCTGGGATGAACTCTGAATTGCCATGTCTCTTACTGGGGATAAGGGATTTTCTAAAAATGGATGGATGGGATAATTGCGATGTCATGTGTTCATTTCTGTTGAGTCTCACACTTGTCTGCAAGGTGCTGTAATAGAAAAAAGTAAGCCAGAACTCTTTAAATCAACAGCCTCTGCAGAAATGGCCGGATGGAATGTGCACCTCAAGAACCGGGTAATGTTTTCCCTTACGTTTTTATTTCACTATTGTACACATGTACTGTAGCACTATTGTTTTACCCCTGAGAAGTGTTTAGAACCTAAGACTCCATGAATTTGAATCCACCTGACATGACAATGCTAGGATGGCTTTAGGACAACGATAAGAATAAAAATTAATAAATGAATGGCTGTGCATTGATATAAAAATATTACAAATAATGTGGAATATGAGGTGTATTTTAAGATTTATTTGTCCATCTTATAGATTTATTTATTTATTGTTTTGTTAATAGTTGCAAAAGGCAAACAAAAAAGGCACTGATGTCCAAGCAGTATTCTCAACTGTGAGAAAGTGTTGTATAAGGACCTGTGTGTACAGTATAAAGACCTGTGGGTACAGTATAAAGAACTGTGAGAAAGGGCTGTATAAAGACCTGTGGATACAGTATAAGAAACTGTGAGAAAGGGTTGTATAAGGTGAATTGAAGGCGCTGGTTGTTGCAGATCCGGAGCCAGGAGAGTGTCCTCCAGGAAAGACATATTTCAACTGCAGGGAGCACCAGCCTGGACAGCCCCGCACTGGCATCGCATGCGAACTGACGTGTCGCAACCTGATGATGAACCTCACCTGCCCGCCCATGACACCCTGTGTGCCAGGCTGCGGGTGTCCACCAGGGTAGGTGCTCTGCAGGCATAGAGCTGTTTCAGTCAGTCGCCAGCTTGATTGCCTGACATAAAGCAGTCACAGTTCTGATGTATTCAGAAATTCAGTGGAAATGAAAAGATAGTCATGCAAATGATGCCAAATGTACTGTAGATGGAATCTGGTTTCTTTAATATAGTGTCCTGATCCTTAAAGGGTTTATGAAAGCATAATACTATTGCTCTAACTTTTAAAGGGAATGCAATGCAAATTAAATTTAAATCACAGTCCACAGCACAGGATGTATTAAAATTACAATGTATACTGTACTTTAGGTTCCAATACTTATTTGTCATGGTTTTATATGCCCTCTCAGCTTAAAAGCTGTGAAGCTGTAGTCATTATTTATTAAAATTAGTGTCTTTTGTGTTTCATTATAGCCTCCAGGAAATTAATGCTTTGTGAATGCAGGACACTTGTTTAATGTTAAATATTTTTAAATGTATTTGTGTTGTAGTGTCTTAAGAAAGCAGTCTAAGCAATCCTTTTTCAAATATTTTTAAATTCTACAATACTTCAATATAATATATATGAAGCATTATCAAAATGTAAGTAGTTTACAGGCATTACAGTGAAATGTTTTCTCTTTCATTTTCTTTTCATTTGGTGAGGCATTTTTAAACATTTTAAGAAAATAATGAACAAGTGAAACCTCATTGAATATATAATGCTATTATGCATATATAAAACTAACTATGTACCTTAAAAATATTCAGACCCTTCCTAAGCTGTTCCATTTTGTGAAATTACAAAATTATACACATTTATGCCATCTGAAATTCAATACTAGAATTCTCACACTGAAGACTTCTAGGGGGTAGGTACAGTAAGTTACAGTAAATGTCCACAGAAAATAGAGACAAAATGCATATATTGATGGCATAAGTATTCAGACCTGAAATTTGAAGCGACTTTGTCAGGAATTAGTCTTTTTGGGTCAGTCTCTATTAGCTTTGCACACTGGTCTGGTGTAGGTTTGGCCCATTCTTCTTGGCAGACTAGCTCAAGCTCTCTCAAGTTACTTGCTTTCGCTTATGGGCAGAAGTTTTCAAGTCTTTCCGCAAATTCTTTATAGGATTCAAGTCAGGGCTTTAACTGGGCCACTCAAGGACATTCACTTCCTTATTCTTAAGCGAGTTCAGTGTAGCTTCTGCCTTGTGCTTTGGATTATTGTCCTGCTGAAGGGTGAATTATCACACCAGTTTGAAGTCTTCAGCAGTCTATTTAGTCTGTTTTCATCTAAGATTGGCTTGTAGTTTTCTCTGTCCTAATAAGCTTTCCAGTCCTGCCTGCTGAGGGGAAGTGTCTTTGTAGTATGAAGCAATACTGACTGTGGGTGCTGCTTTTTTTGGTTGTGCCAAACATAATGCTTGGAAAGTTCCAGATTGATGAGATGGATTTTCCACTCAGCCTCACAGGTTAACTTTGTAAAGTGACAGGGATATTGATGACCGATGCGTATTTATCCTCTTACTTATTGAACTATAGCTCCTTCCAATTATTGTCGTTAGCCTCACATTGGCAGATATTTCCTTGCCCCACTGCTCAGTGTAAATTGCCAACCTGATACAGGCAGTTTCTGGGTGGTACGATGCACTTTCCATTTCTTGAGTGGACTGTGCTCACAGGGATATTCAGAAGCTCAATATTGTTTGTATCTTTCTCCTGATATGATTTTTTAAACATTATCCCAGACGTGCTATGAAAGGTTCTTAATGGTTGAGTCTTTGTTTGAAATTCACTGCCTGACCAAGTTACTTCACAGAGACAAGTGTCTTTTTAATCCTTGGATCCACTATTATTGCACACAGAGGCCACTCAACTACAGTATGTGGTTTGTTAATGTTATTTTGTGCATTTAAATTAATTGAGGTTTGCCACAACAAATGGTTTGAATCCTTATGCAATGATGATGTTTCCTTTTTTTCTTTCATTTTACCTGTTTACTTTATTCTGTTAGTGTTTAGATTGGAATAGATTGAGTATGGAACAAATATCATGTGTTACTGGGGTAATTAATTTATAATTGCTGATGAGATGGAAAGAAAATAATAGCAAGTTTAACATTGCTGGGCCAGTTTTAACTTAAATCTAAAAATATTGCTCAATTAAGTGTCTCTAAAAATATGTTTGCTGAAAATAATCACTGTACATACAAATTTTGTTTTACAGAGTGGTAAACCTAGTGACCAAACCGACTTCGTTGAATTAGGTCAGCAAAAATGCCTTTTGTTCTCTGTTGCCTTTTTTTCTTTAAAGGTTGGTGAGGCACAAACAAGAGTGCTATTTTCCAGAAAATTGTCCGTGTGCCTGGCTAGGACAAGAGTATTTACCAGGAGAAATAGTGGCCACACCTTGTTATAAATGGTATGTGCAAACTTACTGTAACAGAAAGTAATGAATTGAAAATAAAAAAATGGATATATATATATCTGTTTGTCACTAGGTGGACTTCAACTACTAACAAAATTACAAATAGTCATAGTGTTTCTGGAGGAAAGTGTACCCATACTTATTTTCACAATTAGTAGTTAGTAATTTATAGAATAATATCCCTTGCATTCAATTGTATTTAACTTGCTTTTATGCATGTGGTTATTGTGAATATGTTCCAGAGAAATAGTTTTTATTTATTGCAGAATATAGCTATATTTTCCTGATTGTAATGAACAAGGAATGACAGAAACAAACCCTGGTATCAGTGAAAAATGAAACTTCAACATGCCTCTTTTGGTATGAACTTTAACATTCCAACTAGACACAATTATTCGATGTTGGCTTTGTTCCTTGCTTTTTGAGTTTGGTGTTTTTCCACATTCAAGTTTGGAGGTCACCTTGAGTCATAGAACTCATAGAACTCAAGAAAAGACTTGTGACGGAGCACAAGAAATAGTTATCATTCAGTAACTTCATTTTCTGAGCGTTTTTTTTTCTTCTTTTGTTCTTCCCAGGACAATATCATTTTTCCACCACTTAATTTAAAAACTCTAAAGATTCTGTGTGAAATATTATGTGATTGTTGCAAATGTAGTGTATAACGTCATTTAAAATTTCAGGGTTATGCGATATATATATATTATTATATTATAAATATATTTTAATTTCATATTATGTTACCAATATATTTGCGTATGCATTTGTTAAAAAGTAATTTTTAAGAAATCCATACAGAAATGCCCCCAGAATTATATGTTGTCTGATAAAGGTTTTGTTGAAATCTAAATTGTTTTTTTATGATGTTTGTTTGAAATTTGTTTAAATAAGAGCTGGAATAAGTACAGCAGCTTGTCTCTAACTAAACTTGGAAATTCTTTGTCTTGTTTCCAGTGTTTGCCATCGAGGGTATTTTAACTGCACCTACTATCCCTGCCCATCAGTTTGCACTGTTTACAGTGACCGCCATTACCACACTTTTGATGGGCTGGAATATGATTATGTCAGCGATTGCCAGGTCTATTTAGTGAAGGTAGGCTTTCCTACACAAACAAAATGATGTGTAATTTAAAATCTTTTTACTGTTTTTATCGCTCTGACTTAAAGATTATGGCAGGTGGAATATACATATACTAATAATTTGTTTTGTATTGCACATTTGTGTACCCTATAAAGTTATTTTGTCACATGATAAAACTAAGATGTACAGAATTGTAGTATTAAACATACAACTGAGTTGTTACCAGTTCTATAGCGTGACGTAGAAGTACTGATGTTCCAGAATATAACATTTTTCTACAGTTAGACATTAGCTGCAGTAATTTAATTGTTAATATATTTAGAAAACCCAGATGTCTATAGCTCTTTTTCCATTATTTTAATTTTGCAGAAAACAGGATGTACAATAAAGGGCACATTGTAAGAAAATATGGTGGTTAAGAAATTATTTTTTTCCACTCCTTTATTATTGTTCAGAGATTATTAGTCTATTAGACTATTAGTATGAAAGCCTGTTTTCTTGGGAAAGTAGGAAAGCAAAACAAAATAACTGAGGTACCTTGTAGTCAAGAGTAACTGGTGGATTCTTGGCACTTGCTTGATTAAACAGTCACACATGCAGCATTCTTAAAGGCATTGTGTGTAAGCATAAGTGAGTTGTGTATTTGTCAGTTTCTTGATGGTTAAAATTAAGTTTTTATTCAGTGCTCTGAATGTAAAGCAAGCAGTCAGGGCATCCAGTACTGTGGTGAGCTCTACACTCTTGATACCTCAAAGCAGTTCTCGGCAGGGTAGATTGAATCACTGGAAAACAGATATGTGCACATTTTCAAAGCCCTAATCTTGGGAAAATCAGAGGCATTTTTAATTAGAACAGGATTGCTGTAATGTAATCCAATGAAATGTCAAATCCATTGGATAAACAGGGCAAAGTCAACATACCAAACAAAGGCGAACTTGTTCCAATCAGTTTGCTGCTTCCTTTATTCCCAGACCTTCGGTGGCACCATAAGAGTGTTTTTAAAGTGCATTTTCAAATATATTATATGTACATTACGAAGAAAAGTCTGGGATGCAATTGAACAGGTGAATTGGTTTTAGCAGAACAATATACATCCATTGCTTTATGGCCGGAGGCTGTTAAATCAATTTATTTTTAAGTAAGCATGTATTCTTTTCATGACAACGGCCCAAGAATAGCCTCTTGTTTCTACTGAATACTTGGCTTTAAAGGCCAGGGGTTCCCAGAAGACCAGACGGATCTGCAGGAATGCCAGTAATCATCACTGATAATATCATTATGCACTAACAAGGCACATGTGACGTTGTACACAGATGACAGAAACAAAACATCACTTAAGACAGTACTGGGAAATTACAGCTTTAAAGAATGCATCATTAATGCTTCCAAAATCAGTGTATTTTGGTGTAGAATTAATTTCTCTACAAAAAGTTACGAAATAAATTAAATTGAGTAAGTAATTTAATTGGATAATGTTTGTTTAATGTATACATCAAGCGTATATAGGTAGTGTTTATTGTCCCCATTAAACTGAATTTCTTTAGCTTTTTTTGGGATACTTGAAACATGTTTAGGAATAAATGTACAATTCTTTCTAGACTATACACATTTCTTGTCTTGCTAGTGTGTTCTATCCAGGGATCTTCATAAAAGGCACTGTATAATTAGTTATTAATTATTAATTTGTCACGCCATGTATAGTGACTTTTTTAGCTAAAACAGGTGGTATGTCTGACAGTAATTAAGAGTAATATTATTGTCTTCTAAAATGATTCCAGAGTATCAATGGCACAGAAGTCTCCATAACAACTCAAAATAAGGATTGCTATGAAAGCAGAATAATTTGTATGAAATACCTGGTGATTTATGTTGGACTCACAAAGATCTATTTCAGTGACAACTCAGGAAAACCGGTCAGTACCTCTTAAGTGTCATGCACTTGTTAGATGTAGCAATAGATTTAGCAATTTTGAGAAAAGAGGGATAAACCCCAAAACATCAGACCTGAATTCTGTTGAAAGGGCTTTCACTGCAAAGTATGCAAGTGTAGACAGTGTATTTTTGTAGTTAGTAGTATATAACAAGTTACAGCTAGACACACCAAAAGGACAAAAATAAACTTTTAAACTGCTCCATGCATGAATGTTATTGTTATTTTATAATTAATTAACAATACATGAATCATTTCTACAAATGTGCAGTGTAATATATAGTATTACACTAGATACCACACAATTATATCTTGAGGATGCTGTATTATTAATTTATATGGCACTATCTTCCCATCAATATTGTATTTGACATGGGAAATCAGTTATAAAAATTCAGTGTGGGGGAAATGTGGTCATACTGTAGGTGTGATAACCATTTTACAAAAATACATTGCTGTTCTGGAAATCGTCAAAAATAAAACCAACAGATATACTCCCAGGCTGAAAGAAATGTCTTCCACAAACAGAATGAAAGATCTGAAACTTTTCAGTCTTGAACAGAGAAGAATTTAAGTATTAAAAACCCTCAAAGGCACTGGCAAGGTCACCCTAAAGGACTTCAGAATTAACAGTGAAACACGAACAAAAGGACACTATTGAACACTACAGGAAGGGTCATTTAAAACTGAGAACAGGAGATGCTTTTTTTGTACAAAGAGTTGTAGGAGTCTGAAACAAGGCATTAGATGAACCAGATGTGCTTGATTTAATCAGACCAAAAATCTCTCAGAAACCTAAATGGGTTTAATGGCCATCTCTCATTTCTATCTTATGTTCATATTTGAGGCCTCTCTCCATCACTTTCTGTATTTTGTGCATGTTTGTGTTACAGAGCTCATCTACTGTAATTGGGAAAGGTTATGAGTTTCAGTTGTGGAAAGCTGGCTACTACTTAGTGGTTCACTTCCCAAAACAGGAGATCACCATCCTGTGGGACAAGAAGACCACAGTACACATTCAGGCAGGACCTCAGTGGAAGGTGAGCATCGACAGCAGCCCTAATTTCCCTGTAATGTTCTGGGGAAACACTTTATACCTGTACATGTGTGTAGTTAACAAAACTCAGTTCAGTGATTTATGACATCCCGACCGAAAACACAGTCATGCGATCAAAAATTGCCTGTGTTTTGTGGGAAACCTAACCCTTTGGATTTGGTATATGTTAGGGTTAAGATTAAGACTTTCTTTAAAGAATTTGCACAATCATCCACTGCTCTGAGTGGAAAATATCCTTCACTGAATTAATTACTGTCATTAATACTTATAGACTCTCCAAGATTAATACATTCCTGGCAATGTTCGGCAAGTATTAATTGCTCTTAGGATGCAGCAGTGGTACAGTGGGAAGCATTACTGCCTCGTAGCTCTAGGTCCCTGAGTTCAAATCCTTTGGTGCTGTCTGTGTGGAGTTTGTATGTTCTCCCAATGTTTGGGTTTCCTTCAGGTACTCTGGTTTATTGGATAAGGTAGTTAGAGAATGGATGGATGAATTCTGCTGCATGACCACGAACATATTGCTAGACTGTAGAACATACTGTACATTTTGAAGGGCACCAAATGAATAGTTCTACAAGTTCAGTAGTCATCTTCATGGGCTTTGTTTAGAGTAAATCTTATCCTTAATAATGGAACAGAAGAAAGTTGAAATGCATTAACCAGAATTTTAAAATGTCCTATATTAGCAAAAAGAAATTTAAAAAAGCTTATTTAGCCATATAAACTATATTCAGAGTATGCTTTTGTAGCTTCATTATCATATCATTTGGGGCATATCATGTAAAAATTATTATTATTATTATTATTATTATTATTATTATTATTATTATTATTGCTACTAATGCTCTATCCTAAACCTTAGGGTCTGCTGACTGGGATGTGTGGTAATTTTGACAAAATAACAGTAAATGACATGACTACATCCAATAACATGGAGGTGAGCAATGCTCAGGCTTTTGGAGACAGCTGGGCCCTTGGACAGGTAATGAACACAATGGACAGAAATACAGTGTATTCTGTGTATGTGTTACAAGGTGATATTAATAAGCTGGGAAACCACACATTTTGGTTTTGCTGTTGGAATAAAAAAATCATTAAAAGATGTATTATTATTAATCATGCTTCCATGCAAAGTAGTGTCTTTTACCATGATTATCATCGAGATCAGGTAATACAGGAGTTCAGTTTCTGAGCTGCTCAGTCCAGACAAATTGTGTTCATCTTAAAAATTCTTACAAAAAGGGGCAGTCTATTTTATGTTCTTTAACTGGCCATCATTGTAACCTGAGTATTTAGTGTTATCATGAGTAAACTGTGAGGTACAGGTAGATCTTGTTCCCTAGACTTCAAATCAACCCTCTGATACAAACAACAGGCTTCGCACAGACTCCTAGGGATACCTTTTATTAGATATGAATTTAACAATGTGTTTCTTTTTATGGCCTTACAGTTTAATCAGATTAATTGGGTTTTTTCTCCCCGGAGTGATAACATGTACCTACTTTCTGACATCACTGGATTAAAGTTCTTGCTTGCTCACTTGCTCTTAAGTTTGCTATATGATACCTATAAGAAACTGGATAGCAGGGCTGGAAAGGTGGACTTTCAAAACACAAAATGTAAGAGCTAAATAGTCCATGTTTTTTTTTTTTCAGTGTGCGAGTGAATTTGTTGTGAAGAGACCATGCGAAGGAGACCTGAGCAGGCAGCCATATGCCAAAAGAGAATGTGCAGTTTTATACAGTGACGTATTTGCAGCCTGTCACAATGTGGTAGGTAGCCTGCTACAGATGTTATATTTCAGAAAATATTTTAGAGTATTTTCTCAAGTATAGGACCTAAGTAAAATGACATTTTTAAACAGGTTAGACATTTAGAAAGAAGTACATTCACTTGACCACTAGATGGTAGTATTGCCACAGTTTTTTACTTTGTGAACAACTACAAGCTTTAGCCCGTTGAAGTCCTATTGATTGAGCATTCCAACACTTTCCCTTCTGTCAGCTCCCAAAGAAGGCAGAGGATTATGTCAGTTGGTATTAAAATAACATGGGAGAAAAACAGCCTCACTAAAGGTTTCAACACCCTTATTGAGCAAAAAATGAAAAAAAACTAATTTTTGAATGCAAGTCTACATACTAATTTTTATACAAAATTAGCAAAAAGTTAAACAATGTTCTTTTCTACTTATTACTTATTACTTATTACGTGTTCTGTAAATGTAAGAGTTAGGCTAACAAATGGTGGCCAAATTATGGTAATCTGATTCTTTAGGTCAAGATCTCAAACTAGTTTGGAAAGCCAAAGATTTGGAACACTGTATTGAGGGTCGACAAGTAGAAGTTGATGTTTTGTTTTCCAGGTTGATGTGACATGGTTCTACAAAAACTGCCTGACTGACACCTGTAACTGTAACCGGGGTGGAGACTGTGAGTGTCTGTGCACCAGCATAGCTGCCTATGCTCATAAGTGCTGTCAGCGGGGGGTAGCTGTTCATTGGAGGTCTCCTACTGTGTGCTGTGAGTAGCCTGTCCATACCAAGGCATGTCTGTCCTGTGGCTGCTGTTCTTTGTAAGACTATATACTGTTTCACTGGCAAATTCTGTTCTAACTAACCACATTGATCTGTATATAAAAGAGGGCACCCACAAATACACTTGACTTATTTAGTGAAGTAATTAGGTTGCATTCTGAGTTATATCAGTATTGAAATGAGAAAGTGTTGTTTAAACATGCAGCTGTGATATCGTGGATGCATTAAGCTGAGTGCTTAATATAAACGGTAGATTTATTGTGATTTATAAAACTGTTCCAATTCATATTTTTCAATAGTGCACAATAACCTGAAGGGCATTTCTAGAGTAGATCACATTGTAATCAATTTGTAATACATCCCTCATGTGTGATGAATGGATACTCAGCCTTTCTGGATATGTAATTCTCTGATTCCTTTATTAATTTGCAGCCTTTGACTGTGAATATTACAACCAAGGTATGTCACAATTATTTGAATTCATTAAAAATTAAGCTATTATTTGAAATATACACTGTATCTATCAAGTAATATTGAAGTGAATGACAGTTGAAAATCCCCAGTTAACATTAATTATCTGCATTTGTATAATCTTCTACAATCCAGCAAGTCTCCTAGGTCTCTCAATCAAGTTTTCCAATTGATCTTTGTTGAATAGATAACCTGTGTTAGTGGCAACTAACATCTAAATGTCATCTGCTATCCATATGCCAGGATTTTCCAGTGTGGGAACATATGATGTAATTAGCCTTCTACAGTTAGAAGAATGGGTATACAAGTTTCAGAAATAAAATTGTGCTGTTGTTGCAGATGAATTGCTAACAAGCACAAGACACATGTTTATTTGTAAAGAGTTAAAAGTAAAAAAAGATATAGTGAGATATAGTGATAGAAGGATGTAAGGAACAAAACGTTGTGTTTTCTCTCTTCTCTTTTCAGCATGGAATAAACCTAATATTAAACATGTTTGTTACAGACGTATTCTAAAATATTTTTAATATTTATTTTCTGCAAGATTAAATTTCCATATTTTAGATGAGAAGTGTCAGCTTCTTTTTATACATTTCTGTTTTTAAATGTAGGTTTTGCTAAAAGTAGTGAAGTGCTTTTTCTACCACTTTTATATATGTATTAATATATTTTTTACATTATTAGCCATTTTACATTTTTTGTGATAAGGGATTCCTCAAATGATTCTCAAAACTGTTCATTGTTTACAGAGCTTGGTGAAGGACCTTATATTTTATTTAATTCTGCATACAATGATACGGTTTTTGGGGCCAACTTGACCAGTGGTGAAGTTTTTCCATTGCCTAAAATAAGTGCTGAAGGCTCAGTTCTGTTTAACTTCATGATAACTGCAGGACTTTATAAGGACAGATTTTCACGCAAGTATAATTTTTTATGAATTTCTTCTTTGTATTCTCAGCAGCTAATTTACCAACATTCAAAGATGCTGTCTGCATTGCAAGATATTACAGATTTATCTAATACCTGTCTCAGTATGTATGGCAGAAGATTCTTTGTTTTTTGGACTGTAGGAACCACATATTTACCCAGCTTTTTAAACCTGTTCTTAAGAGACCCACTGGACATATACAGTAAATATCTATAGCACAACAAATTCTGTTTACACAATGTTTCTGAGCTGTCACATGAAGGTGAAAGTAGTTGCATTAAGCAGTTTTATTTATATTTTTGTATAAGCAATGAGAAGCTGTAAATAGGATCTTGATGAAAGTTATCTTCCATCCATCCATTTTCAATAACTACTTAGGCCAATAGGGGGTCTCAGCGAGTCAGGTCCTCACCCACCCAACAATGGCCTCAAGCCAGGACGCCAATCCCCTTCAGGGTACATACATAGGGGACAGCTTAGAGAACCCAGTTAACCTGCACAGCATGTGTTTGGACTGTGGGAGGAAACTGGAGCACCTGGCGAACACCCATAAGCAGAATGCGCAAAGGCCGTGCAGAAGTCACTCCAGACTGAAATTGAACCCAAGATCTATGAGGCAGCAAAGCTCACTGACGCACATCCATATCCATTTTTTTCTAAAATTTGAAAACAAAATGAAAAAAAAATTGTTCTAAAAGAAAAAAAAGAATGGTAATTTGCAGATCTTTTATATAGTTAATTCAAAACAGTGCTTTTCTAGTAGTGTCATTTTACTGGGATGACCACTCATTAGTTCTTGTTAGTTCATTTTGCAATGAGTCATTACTCCTGCATGACTCGTGTCAGGAAAGGCTTTTGTCCGGAACTGTGAAATGCTTAAAGAGGCACAAGAAAAACATTGACATAAACTTAAGACTAATTATATTCCTTGTACCTTGTACATTTCCAAAAAACTGCCTTTAGGAAAATTCAGTTTTATTTTTTTTCCAAGGTTTTTAAGATCAAGGCCTCTGTCTAAACCTAAACAACCTCTCTCTAAATCAGTATGACCCCAGTCAGGTGTCACCTTCCATATCTGTTACTGTGTGTGATCAGTATCAGATATAAAGACAAGTTTTAAATTTCCATGACCCTTCACAGATGGCTGGATAACACTGGACATGTAGAGAATATGCAAGTAGCTCAGCAATTCAGTTTCTGTGCAAGTATTAATTTGATAAAAGAATACCCTCCAACTGTGCACTATAGTTACGTACAGTACATCAGCCACAACAATTCCCTGTGGTAACATTATGCCTCCAAGTGTGGATTAACGTGCCTGACTGCCTCCTCCTGTTACACACGCTGTGTTATTTGGAGTCTTTATCATATTCTAAAACAATTATCACACTGATAACTGATATGATTTCAAAAGGAAGCCAGTCAAAGTGCTGTTCAGGTATTTTTGTGCCAATGAAACCTTGAAAAACCACCATTACCAACTGTTCAAAAGCTGAAGGAACTTTGTCAAAAAGAAAGATAAATGTCATTTATGTTTCCCTGACGTAATAAAACTAAAGTAACATTGCAAGGATGTCTTCCCATATTTGGAACCATTTCAAATATAAATACATTATCCACAGAGTAGTAGTTTAGTTTATTACAAAAGTGTAATTACTGTGTTCATTCCTTGGAGTGAGAATGAAATCATGTGATTGAAGGGTTCGTCACAACATGGGTTTAATCACATAAAACATAGTTATATTTATTACACAATAATATAATATATATAATAGTATAATTGGATACAGGGTGGCAGTGGTTAGCATCGCTGCCTTGCAGACTGAGAACCTGACTTCTGTTCAGGACCTGGGGTGCTAAGTACATGAGGTTTGTATGGGTTTCCTCCCACAGTCCAAAACAATATGAGTGGGTTAATTGGCTGCTGGTATGTGTGTGTGCCTGTGATTTTGTCTGTATATCTGCCCTGCGATGAACTCTGCTCTTGTCCAGGGTGTACCCAGCCTTGCCTGTTTCTTGCTGGGAAAGTGGCTCCCCCGTGACCTTGAATTGGGAGAGGCAATTAGAAAATGGGTGGATGGACAGTTGGACACTTGAGTAGAGGAATTTATACATGGCGTAAAAGTTTTGTTTTAGGCTGAAGTAGAAATGGAAGTCACATTTGAAGACGTTCATCAAATAACTTGGTGAAACATCAGCGTTTAGCTGACAGAAGATTGACACTTGCAGTTTGATTGAGATGTATTGGTCATGTCCTCCTGAAGGTCTCCCCATTGTCTCGTTTGAATCTGCCGAGAGACCGAACTACTTCCTGTGCATCTCGGAGAGCAGGACTTTGCGGCTGGAGCAGTGGAGCGCTGGTGAGGAGTTCCGACGGAGAGCCACTTTCTTCCACCACCAAGGCCTGTGGCTCCCAGGCTACAGCTCCTTCGAGCTCTACAGTGAGAAAGGCTTCTTTCTCACTCTCACCCGGACAGAAATAAGAGCAGTGGGTTATGACTATGCTGAGGAGTTCAAACATATTAGCAGCTTTACAGTCGAAGGTAAGCAAGTCTCATTTACTCAATTTCCTTGTACAGTGGTCCAGATATAGGCTTTACAGCACATAAAAGACTTACTTGTTCTTGATGGCCTTCAGTACCTAACTTAAGACTTTCTTTTCAATTTATTATGACTGTGTTGTTGTATTATTCTTTTGACTGCTTCTGTGCATTTTTGTATGTAGAGTTTATGTAAAGTGTCTTGACAGTGCACTAATGGAAAAGCACTATATAAGAATAAAATTGATTGAAATTGAAATTGTATGAAAGAAAAGAACATGCACAGTTTAGATAACAAGCATTATAATTTTTACACCACGGAATGAGAATTTTGGAAGTTTGTGGTCAGTATAATTTGAATAACTCAATTTCCATCTCAATAAAAAGAATGTAAATGTCTCAATGAAGGCTGTTCTTAATTGTTCTTCACGTTTCATTGAAATGTATAGTGGCTCCTGCTCGGTTATTGGCTATCAGTTTTGGGTTAGTCATTTCTTTTACCTCATATGAAGAGAACCGTTTCCCTTATTTTCATTGCAGCTGTTGTTTAGAAGTTAGGATGTGTTGACTGCAATTTACAGAATTATCCTTTTTTTTTGTCTTTAGCTCTTAATTACACAGATTTCATTAACATGGGGCTCTTGCACAAAAGCCCCTAAATTCGGAATTACTGTACTTTATATCTGCTGTTTGTACTATAGCCTCCAACAGTGCTTTGCAAAAGTATGTATTCAGGCCTTTTTAAGCATTGTCACATTTAATATTTATTTCAAAACCTGAAAGCTTAAACTGACATTTTGAATTACAGATGCATGTTTATTTGGGTAGTTCTCTACCAGATTTGCAGAAGAACTTGTGTTCTTCTTGGCAGGTTTGCTCCATCACTCTAAAGTTTCTTGGGGATCACTTACAGACAGCAGTTTTAGTCTTTACACAGATTCTGAATAAAATCTTAATCAGCAGGAGACTTTCAAGGACTCTTAGTGGTGTCACGAATTCGGGTTCTCAGGCCTGTGCCCTCGCTGCTCCCGGCCCAGTTTGTCCCTCACCGCATGGGATTGAACCTGATCTCTGGGCGTCGCTCAACAGGGGTCCTGCCAGCTGAGCTAAAGAAGACCTTCATCAGCCTGGGGGGCCAAGATCCCTGTTATGCGCAGGGGCGAATTTGTTACAAGTGGGGTCTCTAACCAGATTCCTTATTTTGAAATCTCCTTGTTTTTCATATTTGAATCTTTACTTGAAATTCACTACCTGATTGAAGGATCTTATAGAGTATTTATTCTGAAATCATCTGATCTACATTTACTGCACACTCAACAATTGTGTGGGTCGTTAAGGTGGTCTTGTCCACCTGGATTCAATTAGAGTTTGAATACATATGCTATCATGACATTTCAGTTTTTCTTTAATATTAATTATTTCTTCTTTTTTGTTTTTTGAGTGTGTGGAAAAGATTGCAGTCATGACACTGTTTCAGAATGTCATAATGGAAGTTTCAAAGCAACAAAATGTGAAAACTGTACAAGGTTCTGAATACCTTTGCAGACACTGTATCTGTATCTCATGTAATGTGACGTTTACCTCACTGTTGTGCAAAAGTACTGAAAAATTGAATGAACAAGTGATTTTAATATAATTATTAGTTGGCATTATGGTTATTAAAGAATGCTGGTTTAATTAATCTGGCTGGAATTCCTGCCTTCTAATTTTTCATAAAACAGCTTATCAATCTTAGAAGCTGTCTCTGATCCTCTAAGTTTCTTGCTTTGTTTGGAAAAACCTAAGTTTGTGATGCACGGAAGCCTGTTTCAGTGAATCTGACATTCGGTTTTTCCTGTAGTGCAATGTAGTCTTAGATGAAAAGGGAATAAGGAATTATTTTTAAATTTGTTCGAAAATCTTAGCTTGCAAGGGTAAATATTAACCACTTTACTGCACTTGACTCTTGAAAAGTTGAAATCTTGAACATCTGTGTTGTTTCACATTAGGAAACAATTAAGAAAACTAAACTTTAACTTGAGGTTAACTGGAAATGTACATCTGACCATCATACTGCAGTCCATTTAGATTTGTTGCAGCAGGGGGCATTTTCTTGATCTAGTCAAGAATAAAACAATTAAACTTGATGTCCTGTAACATTTGTGTGAGATATATGTACAGGCCGTGGCAATGAGCTTTTTGGAAATGAGAAGTCTGCAAAAAGGAACTGGTCAGACGTTGTCCTAAATAATCTAATGCTACTGTGGCATTTTTGGAGATCAGCACCAATGGTCATGCGGGATCTAAAGAGAGGACAGTGAAGTCAGGGTTAAGAAAGAAATATTTGTTTTGGATGAACAGCTTAATCCCTGTCTCTGAACTGGCAGCACTCCATGCTCTGTCAGCTATGAGCTTCATTCCATCTCTCTAAGCTCTACTGCTCTCAGAATGAACTGGGGTGGTGCCAACCATGTCACTGGCACCAGACCCCAATCCAAACATAAGTGCCCTAATCAAGGGCTTCGTTCCCTGGTATTTTAAACCATGAGCGTGACCAATCCAATCATCAGGCAAGAACTCAATTTAAATGAGAAAGCTGCCCACCCAAATTTTTTTTTGCTAAGGGACTAGCTAGCCTTTATACCTAACATTTCTGTATGGAAAATACTGTTGGTTTTTATAAAGAAGACTCAAATTTATTATTCAGTGTCGCCCTAATGATGAAACCATTTAAATTTAAAGTGATTAATTTAGCTTTTCTGTTTCTGTAGTAGTACATAGTAAAGTGTTACTTAATAATGTAAAGTTACATTCACTGCTTATAATAATAAATTATTATACTTTATAACATACTTTACATACAATATTTATACTTTACAACTTCTTTACTGAATGTTTAATATATGGAAATCACTAAAAACACATTTACTCAATATTAAGTTTTGATGTTTCATCTAAAAATGTTTTTTTCAAGATTGACACTTAGAGCTGTTCCTGGGAAATGTTCCAGATCTTGTATGTCGTTGTATTGAAATATTGTGATTGCTGCTGATGCACAAATCCTGCCATTGGCTTCATAGGTGGTGTCAACATACATATATTCATAGAAAACAACCTCATGAAACTTCTAACACCATCCTTCATACAAAACCTTTTTAACATGTTAAGAAAACCTTCTAAATGAATCAACCACAGAAACAGTACAAGTATTAACCAAACCAACACTCAGAGAATATGGCAGCAGAAATCAAATACAGAATAAAAAGGCAAAATAATGTAAAAATGCTTTGCACATTACAAGGAATAATATGAAAGCTGTGTGCTTTATCGCATTAAAATGACAGCTTTGATGAATGTTTTTAACAGTTTTTAAGGTTTGCAATAACTGCATTTTAAATGTGCTCGGGTATCATGTTATGGATATCTACTCTTTTCTTTTTCAGAGAGCAGTTTTGTTATTCCATACAGGATGATGTGTGAGTGGAAGTACCACCCCTGTGCCAGTCCTTGTGTTAAAACATGCAGTGATCCTGATGCTGCCAGTTGCAGTTTTCTTCCCCCGTAAGTAAAACTACCAATATTGAAACTTATTTTTAATATTTGTTGCAAGCGGTGTGTAGTGCTATCACTCTGGCTAGTAAGCTGTAAGCCAGCTCTTCCATAGATTCAAGTTCTCTATGAGGCAACGTTTAATGAAATTAATGACAATAATTCTACAGCCAGGCATGTTTAAAATGACTTAAAATGAGTGTGTAAAAATGTGCAGAAAAAATAAATCCTGGATTACAAAAAAGGCCAAAAATAGACACGGGAGTCAAGCTTTAAAGATGTGTTAACAACGCTTGTGATTCTTCACACAGGGTAGAAGGCTGCTTTCCACGGTGTCCTAAGAGCATGATCTTTGATGAGGTAACAAGAAGATGTGTGTACCCCGAAGATTGTAAGTATACGATTTTCAGTTTTCTCCACAGAGACAGGCCTTTTCATGTTTTGATTAGCATTGTTATGTAGGCAGTGGGGGATTAACATGAGGTAGATTAAAACCAAAATAAAACAAGTTCCAAGCAGGAAAAAAAAGAAATATACAGTATAAATAGAAGGTCATTCTGTTATCAATGTGACACCCTACTCAGCATGTTGTAACAGGATCTTTGATTGGCAGGTCCAGGAAAGCCGACGCATACAAATACAGCTGTAAGGTTTCAAAAGCTCTTTTTTATTTACGACACAGGGAAAAATACACAGCCACCCAAAAATACAACAAGCAAAACAAAATCTTAGCCACTGACTAGACTCCTTCTGTCCCTATTAGTATTGCCGGGCAGCTAAGCTACTTATTGGCTTCAAAAACAGCTCCTCAACACAAGTCTCTCTCCAACACCCTCCACGAATCACTGTTTCATAGTCCCTTAGTTAGTCTCTCTTTCTGCCTCTGGTGATTTATTTTTCCCCTGAATAGCAAATCAGACCAACACAGAAGCTCTGCTTCCTGGTTAAATTGTCACCTGACTAACTGCCTTCTCACAACTGGTCAGGTGACAGAGGGCAGCCAAGCTGACTAGACCTCCATCTTTTCTGAACCCACTGCCCTCTCATATCAACCACTGTTGTTATTCTGATAACATGAAATATAATAATATTTTGTGTTTCTATACAATAAATGTTTAAAATATTTAAATAATTACATAGGTAATGTTTTTTTTATTTGCGCAGGCATTATTTTACCCCCAACGCCAACCCCTTACATGTTTGTGACAAGATCCAACAGAACTACAGCTGCTTCAGCCACAACATCAGCTGCCACCACTGAGCCAAGCACTCCGGCTAGAACAGACCACCTGACAAATATGACATCATCCACTGAGCACATTGCAACTGACGAACCCACCACTGTGGGCACCATTCCAGTTCCTGCAACTCCTCTGTCGCCGCTGACCACTCTGTCTACTTTGCCGCCAGCCCCCAGCACACCGAGTGTTCAGACTTCTGCTCGGACTGAACCCGCTTATACCATTCCTTTCCTTACCACGACTGCTCTCCCAACACTGGCCACTGGACAAACCACAGAAACTACTGAAAAGACCACAGAAGTGACGACAGCTTCTTTGGCACCAGTGACCACAGCCACAAGTCAAGTACTTAGTACTTTGCCAGCTACATCCATGACCACGTTGACAGTCACATATACAACTTCACAGGCCTTATCTACCTTTTCCACTGAAGCACCATCAACAGCTCACCCTGCCCTTAGTGCTGAAGCAACCACAACAAAGATTTTGGGGGCAACTACTACACGTCTGCCATCTCCCTTTACCTATGGAGGCCCTGAGAATGTTACAGAAACCTCTGCTCTTACAAAGGAAGCTTTGACTCCTACCACAATGGCCTTGCCTTCATCCACTGAGCCAAGATCTACTCCTCCTATTATCACAGTACATCAGATATCTACTGGGGACACAGGATCTACATCAGAGCCTTTGACTCCAACCCTAGTGTCAACTACTGTTCAAACAATACAGACTACCTCAGCTACTTCACCTACTGCCGTAACTGAAACTAAATTACCACTGGCTTCCACAAGCCCTTTGACCACTGCTGAATCCACCCAGTCCCCACTGAACGTTACTGCAGCTGCAGAGACTGAGGCAGCTACTCACGATATTGTGACAACTACACCACGGTTCATGAGCACTGAATACTCAGCTACCTCAGCACCTGACTTAGCCAGCCTTGGGACAGTGATACCTTCAGTGCTGCAGCCAACATCAACATGCACTGTAAGAATCTACTTGATCATACTGTTTGTATGAGTGAAAACAAAGAAGGGGAATGATACCTGTGTTAGCTACAGTACACAAGCACAATAATCTGTTTTCCTAATCTAGCCTTTTTTCAAAAGTATTAAAAACACAACTATACATTTCAGGAACCTTTCTGAGGGAACCCTTGGGTAGTCCTGAAAATTAATTTTTCCCATGTCCCCAATGAGGTGGTCACTCCAGGACAGGAGTTGTAGCACATTAGCAGGAGATTTAGTGTGGGAGCTATTCCTCCCATGTGGTTATACTGAGGGGCTCGGTTTACAGCGCTATCTGACTTGCCCTTCACAGTTACAAAGCAAATATGCCACCTTTTGACATTTCAGAACAAGACTTTCTGCTAGGTCTTAGCGGCTTGACTGTGGTGGTTTTGATCAGCATAGATCAAAAGTCTTTGCTATTAATCTGCATGGCTACTAAGCAGCACTCTGTATGCACAATTCATTATTACTTTGAGCAGTTTGACTACATCTGTTTTAGATCGTAACGAAATAATTACCTGTTGAAAGGTCCTGTAGATTTTGTGACTATAAATCCTCATTGGATAGATATATTACTTCATATATTTCAAGGGAGAAGTCGGGGGAGATAAGGTTGGAATTCTACGAAGCTTAGTCTGTAAATTATGAAAAACAAACCAAAATACAAACCACAATACAGGAAATCAGTCTACTATGACTATGATACAACAGTTGTGCAACACAGAGTGCACAAACAGGAGGCTGACGTTTCAATATACTATACTGTATGCTGATTGAGCTGTATAAATGTACAGTACATGGATGATAGCTGAATGTAAGACATGTATTTCATGCTGTTGTTTTCTTTTTTCTGACTTCAGCCTCCATATTCTTACCGTGTGGACGAATGCAGTGAATATATCTGTTTCAACGGGCACTTGATGTTCCATAATGCCTCTATGCACTGCCGAAACAATGTATCTCAGCCAAACTGTGGGCTCCTGGGAATGCCAGTTCAGGTCAACAAGGATTACTGCTGCCCTCAGTGGGAATGCCCTTGTAAGAAAATGCTTACTATATATACAGTATATCATACTGTGCTGTGTATACCTGTGCTGTAAAATGTCTTCTTCTGAGCTGTTCTGAGCTTCAGTGCCACTGAGCATAAACAATGTTTTTCAGTAAAAATACAATTTGCAATAGTATTTAGACATTTCCTGTGGTGTCTTATTTGGTGAAATGCCCAAATTATGTAAAAATATTTTGAAACTTAATATTTTATTCAACATCTGAATGCTCAAACTGAAGGCTTCTAAGGGTAAGATAAGTTACAGTAACTGTCAGTACAAACTAAAGAAAAAAAATGAAATATGTGGATTGCGTAAGTGTTTAGACTTGTGAACTTGATATTTCGTGGAAGCAACTTTGGCAGCAATTAGAAGCTCAAGTGATTTTAGGAAGGTTTCTACCAGCTGTGCATACTGTCTTGTTGCAACTTTTGGCCATTCTTATTGGCAGATTTGCTCAGAATCTCTCACCTTGCTTGGGGATGGATTATGGACAGCATTTTAGACTCTTTCCACTGATTCTCAATAGGAGTCAATTCGGGACTCTGACAGGGCCTCTCAAGGAAATTAACATTTTTTATTCTTAAGACACTGCAGTGTTTATTTTTTAATACCAACTCTTCTTGACAGATTTGTTCAAGATTTGTCAAGTTACTTGGGGATCACTTATGGACAACAGTCTTTTCACATCTCAATAGGATTCTTGTCAGAACTTTTGACTAGGCCACTCAAGGATATTGACTTTCTTATTCTCAAGCTGCTTCAATGTAGGCTTTAGCCTTGTGCTTTGGATCACAGTCTTGGGTTTGAAGGTGGTATTCCTCTATAGTTTTCCAGTATTCTGCTCCATCTATGTTCATAGCAAGTCCCTCTGAGGAGAAACAGACTTATAACATAATGCTGCCATCACCAAGCTTGTAGGATTTGTGTTTACTGAGTGATGCACAAAGTTGGATATGTAACACTTTGCTTTTAAAACAAAGAGTTTAATTAGTTTTCTTATCTGACCACCTTTTACCATACTAATATTTGCGGTATTATATGCTTTTTGCAATTCCATATCAGGCCCTTTTGTGAAGAGACAGCACATAGTTGTTGACCCATGGACCAAAGAGTTCTTAAGTCACTGGCCAAAGTCACTGTTTGCCTCACAGTGTCACACTCGTCATCCCTCCTCTAGAGGGTGCTCCGACCCTTTTTGTATTTTAGTTTCATTATTACATTCACCTGCCCCTTGTTCCGTGTGTATTATTTAAACCCCGTTCCTTGGAAACTCTGCGCTCAGTTTTGGAAGATGGATGCCACAAGGCTTGCCTATGGATGCCACAAGGCTTGCGGGTACCCCGAGGGCTGGTCTTATTCCCCGGCGTCCTGACCATCTGGGAGGTTTACCCTTGCGTGTTCCTACTTCCTTGTTCCTGTGTTAGTCTCGGATGGATCTCCTGGTAATGGATTTTTGGCTGCTTCCCGGTTTCCCCTTTCAGATTGTTTTGGACTTGTTCGCCTGCGCCACGCCCCCCGAGCACCGGAACACTGCCGACAATGCCCCCCTGTCAGTCATCCCATCCTGACTCTGTCGTGTTTCCCTGTTGCCCTTCTCTAGTCTCTTCCGTATTTTAAAGTCTGCATAGGGTCCTAAATACGCACTACATGGGAGTCAGGACCGGCTCCCGTTACACAGTTGCATTCATAGGCAGATACTGTACCTCCTTGTCTGGGGGCTCAGTTTGGAGAGATGGTCTGATCTAAGCAGTGGTTGGGTGCCTTGTTCTTAATGATTGACTTCATCATGTGCAAAGAGATACTAAGGGTTTTTTAAATGTTTTATACTCTTCTCTGTGCCATTATTTAACTATGCTGTACATATATATATATATTTTTACTTGCAGGCCGCTGTTCCATCATATCAGATCTTCGTGTCATTACATTTGATGGCAATAATGTTGCCCTTTATGACAATGGGTCTTACATATTGGTTCACCTTCCCAGAGAAAATATTGTGGCTCATATTGAGAAGTGCCCAACCAGTGAGGTAATATTGCTGTTTGTAATAACGACACTCATTAGCATGTTGCTTGATTTATGGTCCTAAAATCCTGTTTACAAACAATTCTTAAAATTCAAAATGACGTGTGCAAACACCATGCTTTGTATAAAATTCATTCAGCCTTAAGTAAGACTATATTCACAAACACAAATACAAAGACAGGGGTAGTTATCATAGAATTAGCACAGCAAAACTCATATTAATAAGAGTTTGGAGACAGCAAAGTGTGGACAGTGGTGCACATGCTTTTCATATGCTGCTCCCCTTTCTGATCATAATATTTTATTTGACTCCCCATCCCTCAGTATTAGACATTAGGACTCAAAGACGTCTGAATCTGGTGAGTCTAGAAATCACTGATTTCTTAGACTCCGTGATATTTTTTGCTCATTCTGTATCATCAAACATACAGTGTATAAACCTTGATGTAAGTGCTTCATATTGCATAAAATTGTTGGTGAATGAGGCCCTAAATCTCAGCAGTGCTCATACAGTATGTTATATCAAACCATTCTCAAATATATCAAACCATGCTTACTAAAAATTTCAAAATTGAATCCTTAATTTTGGATAATAATAGCTGGTTTTGGTAAAAATAATTGTATGACTTATGTGACGGGAGTTCTGGATAGTGAATAGTAGTTACTGGCTTCATAGTTGTTACACTGAATAACTACAGTTTACTTCATATCACATATTAAAATAAGAAATATTAAAAATGTCAAGTGTCTTTTCTGTAACATCAGTTGTTTTAATGATTAATTATTATTTCCTTTTTCATTTCAGAGTGTTAATTATATAAGACGTCCAGTAAGTACATTCTATCATTATTATTATTTTTATGTGTAGTAATAGTAGTAGCAGTAATATAATTCTTTTCCTCCTTTTCTCCGCAGACACCAACTGGAGGGACATCTGGACTGTGTTTTAAGAAGCTGAATATAACCACACATTCCTATAAGATTCTCATTAATCGGCTGGACAGAAAGGTGAATAGCTGATGGCCATTGTTTAACTCATTTTAGTTTTCATCCTGTTGGGATGTTGCCCATAAAATAACTTGGTTTATTTTTCTTGCTCACAGGTTTCAGTAAACTTCATAAATGCAAGGCTTCCATTCTCACGTCAGAATCTGCACATTGACGACACAGGCACCATGTATTTAATCAACACCCCCGGGGGGGTCAGCATCCAGTGGTACCACAGCACTGGCATCATGGTCCTCCAGTACAGCCCCCCTTTCAACACTACTGGAGGAACTCAGGGCCTGTGTGGTAAGACTGTTTTTAATAAGGGTCATTGCTGATGGACAGTTAAATTGGCTAGATTCCTACATTCACAAGAAGGATATACAAACTTTTCTCCTGGAGGTCAAGATCCTGTCGATATAATGTAAATGAGCCCTGGGCAGCTGGTCCCACTATGCCCTCATACTTGGCTGAATGCTGCTGTTTGGGAAATCCTATTAAGACACGACTCAGGCTTGAAGCCTTGGTAATAGAACTCAACCTGCATTCAGGTAGGGTAAGTGCCTTTATCGACTGAGGCATTTAGGAGGCAGAGATGGGTAATCCTGGTAAAACAAAAAATTAAGGTCTCAAGAAAACACAAAAATAAGAAAAAATAATAAGAAGTAAGGTGGCCCTCAAAAATTAGTAAAATGAGTAAACAAGTTCTGGTTGTAAAAAATGCTAAATTTTTGCAAGGTTTATTTAGAGTAAAACATTGTGAAATCACAAAATCAGATATACTTAAATGATTCATAATCTTTTGTGACGATTGAGAAGTCATGTTTGTGTATGTTTGTTTTATTCTGTTAACCTCATGGGCATTTTCCTTAGCTCCTAGACGTTCACACATATTCTCCTTTCAAGTTGTTGTGCTTTTTGGGTTTTGCAAGACTGAGGTTGATGAAGTTACAGTATGTAATGATGTGTACTATCACAGCGTTTTTTCTTGTTTTGAGGATGCTGTGATGGAAACCCAGCTGATGACCTGAAGCTTCCCAATGGGACTATCATTAAAAATGTGGAAGATATCCCTGTCTTCTTGTACAGCTGGATGGTCGATACCTCAGAGGAAACAGACTACTTCAGGAGAGTGGGAGATAACTGCACCACTGGCAACTGCACTAAATGCTTCCAGATGTTGAATCAGAATCCTTTCACTGTGTGCCATAAAAAAGTAAATCTGTTTTTTTATCAAGGGGTGTTCAAAATGTTGGAAATGTAGGATAATTTTTCATTTTTAATTACAAGACTTCATTCTATAGTAGATACTATGAATGGTGTCTTGTTTTCACAAATGCTTGTAAAATATTGTATATTTCAGTTTTGATTGTGGTCAAGAATACTGTTTTTTCACCTCTCTACACAGTTTACACATTTGATTAACCTCTGCTTGTTATATGTCTTCAATAAATTCATAGCTAGTTTTATATAGTTTTCAGATTCCTACAATGTATAATTATATAATAATATATAGCATTTTGTTATTTAGTTGAGTTATTTTCATTCCAAAAACTTAAAACCTTAAGACATGTTACAAACATATGAGTAAGATTACCTCTTGATTTACCACATTTCCAGCAATTACAGTATCTGTGTTTTGGTATTTACATCTGAAAATCTGAGTAAAATATGCGTGTGTTAATTTGAATTCAAAATGAAATCCACTTCTTCTGCCTCTGTACCAGACACTTAAATTGAAGCCTATATCAGTATTATATTATTGTACAGTCTGTTTCCCCCCAAAATATTCAAAGAATAATTAAGTTCTGAAGCTCAGAATTTCAGTGCAAAATAGATAGGAATATTGATTTCTGTATACCATATGTAGAAATATTAAGTTTTGTTCTCCAAATACAAAATTCATTTCAAATTTAAACTGTGTTATTTTGAATTTTGTGCTATATATAGGTTTCACCAGAGCAGTTTTGTGATAAGATCTGGGCTGGAGATCTTCATTACAAAGATCATGAATGTGATTTCCTCGCTGCTTATGTGGCAATCTGTTACACTCACAACCTCTGTATCAACTGGAGAACACCAGAGTTTTGTCGTGAGTATTATCACAAGAATTCTACCACTAACCAGGAGAGGTTAAAATAAAGGAGTAAATATAAAGTTGTTCACACAATCTCCAAAGAGCTTGGACTGACCAGCATTCTTGTAGATATTTTTGTAATTATTGTGCTGGTTTACAGCCTTTAACATTTCATTACTGATAACAATTGAAACAAAGAAACTGTTAAGGTATTATTGTAGCTCTTCATTTAAAGTGCTTAATTGCAGTATATTGAAAGTGGGCAAAACAAAGCTTGATTTTAAAAAAATATTGTAGTAAGGCTATTGTAGGAATATGACAACATATTACATCTTTACCTCAAATAGCACTGAAGTGTCCTCCAGGAAAGGAGTACCATCCTTGCGTAAGCACCTGTAAGACAAAGACGTGTCAAAACCGAGAATACTACGAGGAATCCACCTGTTCCTATATAAGAGAGGAGTGTGTGTGTAAAAGTGGGACCATCCTTCACCGAGCAGACTCAGCTTTCTGTGTCACAGAGGAACAGTGTGGTGAGTATGTGGTACAGTACTTACATACTGTACAAGTGAAATATCATGACCCATGTTTCTGCTTCAGCTTGACTGCATTATTGAAAGCCTATTGTGGGAAGGATGGTAAGAGAAACAAGGAAGGGATAAATTAATGCACATAATTTACTTTTTGCTGAATGTTGTAGACATTTTTTCTATTAAATACTTTATAATATATAATAGTTTAAAAGTCAATAAAGAAAATATTAACAGCCCATCATGCAAATATAATTTTACATAGGTTAAACCGTAACAAGCTAGCTTAAGACGTCTAATAATGACACAGTTATTTTCTGTTTTCTGGACACCACACAGATTAATCAAATGTGAGATAGGCTAAGCGCAGCTGATCCACTTGAGTGAATCTTCAAATGGGTCAGTAGGCTGCAAGTGTTAAATATCCAAATTAAATCTGCCTGAACCTAGAGGATAAAAAGGTCACAGAGTTCAATAACAATGCGCTATAACTAGTGTTCTTCCTCTGAACCAGGGTTGTATGTTCAGGGTCGTGGAGGGCCAGAGAGTCTGTAGGTTTTCTGGGTCTGGTTAACAGCAGCACCTGAAGACTGTGGGGGTCGGGGGGTTAAATTGGTCCAGTCACCCTCTGCATCCGTTTTAGTTCTAAACTGGGTGCCTAAGCTTAGTTCAAATTAAAATGGAATTAAAAATACCAGCCCTCCAGAAAACTGATTTAAATCCAAAACTTTAAATTTTCTTCTGGCTGTTTCATAGTTAAAAATGTGAAACCCATGAAACAAGTTGAGCTGCTTTACACTGGTTATCACAGCCACTGGGTATTTTGCCTTATCTAAACCTCATACAAAGTTTACAGGTGACAAAAAATCTGTACTCTTAGAGCCCATTTCTGTCCCGTAGTTTACTAACCGATATATGTACAGTATATATTGGTGGGACATTTGTTTTCACCACTTGAATGAGGCATCCAGCTATCATTTTAAACAGAATGGAGATGGGTGTAGTATGCAGTAATCACAATTATATTATTACACAATTTTAAATAATCATGAAAAAACAAGAATAACATCCAGTACACAGAGGTAGTGAACAGGTTTTGCTAAATCCAGATCTCACAGAAACTGGATGCTACTTTTATCTTGAAGTTATGTTGTAGCGAAATATACGCCAAATATACTTGAACCTCAAGTGTTAACCAAGTTAGTTCAAGTCACTTGATCATAAACGGGCCCTCCAAACTCTGTAACATTAAATACTTTATCCCTCGTCAACCTCAAGGCTTACAATGGTATTTCATTGCAAATAAAGTATGTTTCTGTGAAGACATTTAATTTAATTTAATTTAAAATCATTTGATTTTATATACAAGGGCTGTGGGAGTGTTCTGCAAGTCTCTACTATCCCCTATTTACCAGGGGATCTAAACTAGACATGTCTCTTCCAGCAGCAATAGCAGTGTTAACTGGCAGACTCACCAGATATCACACATACATGGATCAGTACTCTGACCTGCTGATGTAGAGCTTTAATAGATTTAATTGAAAACTGGAATAGGCTTGTGAATATTGCCGTTTCACCTCCAGTGTGCACTGACAATGAAGGACGTCCCAGGGCACCGGGGGAGGTGTGGAATGGCTCTAACAAAGGCTGCTGTATGTACAAGTGTATGGAGAACGGGAGCATTATTGCAGTGGAGCCAGACTGCAGTGAAGTGCCCTTGCCCATCTGTGAAAGAGAGGGAGAGTATGTATTAGATGTTATCGAAGAAGGAGCATGCTGTCGAAAGAAAATGTGTGGTAAGTTATTGAAGGTAATGGTATGAGACCAGTGTTAGACAATGTAGGCTAAATTATAGATTTAGATATAGATGTGACCCTCAGATAGCTTGTGAAGGTGTGGTTTGCTAAATGTCCCAGAGCAAATATCTAGAAATAGCAAAAAACATCAGTGCTTAATTTAAATATGTAATATTTTGGATGCCTTTTGAAACTCGTGTTAGTATGTTAGTATAAAGCACCAGCAAACTAGTGGTCCCCACACTGACACTGTTAGCATCTCACTGTTTTTTTTATTTTTTTTAAATGGTCAGTTGGTGTCTTTCTGAACCCTTCCAGGATTGTAATTCTTAACTGCTAGTCCTCTCTCAAGTAATACTGTACAAACAATTTACTTGCATTTTACTCTGTTCCACTGACTCACAGCTAACACTAATGATTTATGAACTTGGTTACATCTAGTTTCTTAAGCTGAAGAGTATTCTCAGTATTCTCCCTTCTCAGTCAGTTATAACAAAACAGCTTTTCTCTCTTAATCTTCAACAATCACTAGATCTTCACTGGCAACCATTGGAATTCCAATCAGACTTTCCTAGCTGATCCTCTATAAACAGAACTTGCATCCTTGACAGAGCAGCAGCCAGACTGTTGTTTTCTCATACAGAGTGGGGGCTGTCCTTTACAAGAAAAGGGAGTTTCAGGACTCAACACAGACTGAAACACTTTTCCTCCTAGCTTGTCTTATAAGGCTCTTAATTAGCTTAGAGGAATGACCAATTACACACTGATTCTATCCCACCAGCTCCCTTACCTCAGTGGAATTTAACTCCCTCTGAGCACTAATTATTCATTCAGAGCAGCTGTGTCTCATTTAACAGGTTCTCTCAATTAACAGCCGAACACCTTGACATGGTGCCAGTAGATCTGAATATTTTGGATCAACGATATCATAAGAAGTGAAATTAAGAGTTACTTTTTCTTTCAGTAGATGAAAAAGTGATTGATGTGACAGACCAATTCCCCAATTTGTTTTGTTTACAGAGTGCAATTTAACAATCTGTGACAATGAGGTTCCTGCCTGTGAAAATGGAAATAAACTTGTGATCGGATACAGCACCATTTCCTGCTGCCCAGAGTACAGATGTGGTAAGCCTTCTGTTACATAGCTTTATGCTCCAGTTACAACTGAATTATTAGAATACTCCATTAATCATATTTTGGAATAATCATTTCTAACACTATTAATAATTGGTTGAAGGGATAAACTGCTGGACAACAGTTTACTCAAGAGGACGTTAGATTGTAGACTTTGGCTTAGACTTGGATTCCCAAACCTTGATACTTTGTTTGTCTGACAAGTGGGAAGGAGAGCAGTATCTTGCCACTCTCACTGGTTGATCAGTCAAGCAATTCAAAATGTTAATTGGTAGAGGCAACATTAAAATCCCTTCTTTGCCATTCACTGGATGTATTTGCTTATTCATGAATAATATGTGTATCAATTACTCGTTCTGTGGTGTGATGCCACATGTTACAAGTGGAAGTGACCTGGCATATATGGTTTGTGTATGCCAATATATGGTTGTATGCAAATGGAAACATGAGCTTTCTACTTGAAGCATTCTTTCCTTGATACTCAAATAGGTACATTTTCATTATGTGTGGATGGAAATACAAAGGAGGCTGTAGGCATAGATGTTAGTATGTAGAGTCAATGGAGTACAGTCAGGCATAGATCCCTGCAAGCCCAGTTCAAAACTAGTGTTAGAGGTAAATCTAAGGTTAGGGGTAAAATTTAGCAAAGGAATCATGACATGGTTTTGTTCTAATAATTAGTTGAATGGAAACATATACTATAATCATGCTCGAGTCATTACTTAAACCTCCTAGCACTTAAATCGATCACTCAAGCTCTTCTACTGTAAAATAAGTGTCTTAAAACTGAACTTATCTTTGTTCAGTCAACAACACAGTTTTTGTTTACCTTAGCCAATTTCATCTTCCAATATAATTATGAATAAATGCCTTTAATTGCTATAAAACTTGAAAGTCTCAAAGCACCATCCTGGAATAAGTAATTTTGCAGCTGGTCTGTTTTTGTCTTTTCAGGAAAATAAACAGACATGAAGCCACAACGATTTCAATTACTTTTTTATGCTTGACTGGCAAATTGATACCATAGAATTTTCATTATTTTCACGTGGTGGATGTCTGTGTATCAGAATGATCAAAATCTTAATAACGGAGTGTATCTAGTATATCTGTATTATTACTTTTTTACAGCTGATATTTTAGGCATGTCATAAGCGATGTGTTGTTGGCTATAATTAACCTTCTTGTTTAACAGAATGTGATACCATGGCTTGTCCAACTGTGGTCCCCCATGAATGCAGAGAAGACCAATTCCTGGTTGAAGTCAGAGAAGACAAATCCTGTTGCTATTCCTTTCTCTGTGGTAAGTAAAAAGAAGTCCCAATTTAATCACTTAATAAATAAGTAAATGTAAAATTGTTCATTGTTCTGGACTGTTAGTGTGTTAATTTTTATTTTATACTAGTTTCAATGTGAGGTTCCACGATACCAGTCACATTTCTGCAGCCATTCCTGTTAAATATGTCTTATTTCTTCCAGTATGCGAGTCCTGCATTGAACCAATTCCCTCATGCAACGATGGCGAAATTCTTGCAGTTGATCTCAATTCCACTCAGCGTTGCTGTCCTCAATATCACTGTGGTAAACCATTTACCTTCAGATCACTTCCAATTTAATTTTCAAGACTGTTAATTTGAAAGTATAATTTAGTCTGAGTTTTTCCCTGAGAAACAAGTTATCAACAAGTTCTAATCTCAATTATGAATTCAGTACGTGAAACACAATTGACTTTTACTTCTTCCTTTATTTTCCTTTAGTCTGTGATGTGAATCTGTGTCCAGTAGCTAATATAGAATGCACTCATGGAACTGTTCTGGTGAAGGAGAATGTCCCTGCACAGTGCTGCCCAGAATGGAAATGCGGTATCATTTTGAATTTTATTTTGTAAGAAAATATGGAAAAATAGGGTACTTTTCTTAATTATTGAAAGGCACACAAAATGAAAGCTGGTAGTTTATGGCCAAGGTAAACATTCTGAAGTTGTTTTTGATATATGTTCTTAGAATTTATGATTTTATGATAACAAATGACAAATTATATATTCCTTTTTAGTGTTTAATTGCAGTTTTAACTTATGATTTAAAGAAAATTTCTGAGGGCTGTTTTTTAATTTAATGAATAACCGTCTCTTTCTTTAAGCTATAAAATATGGTCTTCAGGTCTCGTTGTTTGTTTTTAACAGAATGCAGCTGCCAAAATAGTTCTGTCCCGTTTTGTCAGGTGGTAAGTGCTTGTTTTTCTTTTTTGGGGGGCCTTTCAGCATTAAAAGCAGTAGTCATAATACCAGTTTAACCACTGTGTATAATATATTATATTAAATTGTATTGTATTGTATGAGCACAGCACTGTAAAGATTTAAGAAAGTTATAATTAAAAGTGCTGCTTTAAGACTGTCTATATCAGCAACGTGCTATGTATCTAAATTAACTTTTGTTTTCTCCCCCCCTCCATAAAAAACAGGGAGAGATTCAAGTTGAGGATCCTAATTTTACCAGTATCTGTGGCTGCACTCAGTACTTTTGCAGTAAGTTTACATTGCAAGTAAAATCAAGGTTTAGCAGCTGAGCCGTGTTGATCACAGAGGTCACAAACAAAACAGCCACCCCGTCGGCAGGAGGATACATTCTTGCCAGCACAGTGTATTTCATTGTGAGACAGCAGTTACTCACTTTGTAATAAACAGAGATGGATGAAGTGCTATAAATAAATATGTGGTGGAGAGGGAAAGGAGGAAATTGATCAGCCAGGTGTTCAGGCCTCTTGAGTCTCCAGAGTTGACAAATATGTTTTCCTCAGAGTTCAATTTTGGATTTAGATTTTGAAAACTCATGAATGAGATAGAAAAATCAATTGTTGTTTTGTTGAATTAAGCATAAATCGGACTGAACACACCCAGAAATAAAGAACCGTCTGAACAGAAGATTTGGTACGTGGTCTTATTGAAAGATGAATCAGTTTTGCTGTGTATTTGTTTCTTGCAGAGAAGGCAGATGTGTGCCTGTTTCAGGGAGTCACCGTGCTGAGCCCAGGCCAGTCCATGGTCCAATACTTTGAAGGGGACCTCTGTTACACAGTGCAGTGCTTACAAGCAATAGATATTGCCACGGGTTTCCATGCTATGGACGTGTTCACTGTTAACTGCTCGGAAAAATGCGGCGCTGTATGTTCACATCATTTTACAGTTACAGTTTTAAAACTTTGTGCTCTTGATTTTTGCCCTTACTGTTCTCCAACTACTGTCTTTTCTGACTTTTTCCTTCCTCACAGCACCAGGTGTATGTACCGTCTTCAGATCCTCACATATGTTGTGGTGGTTGCAAGAATGTTTCCTGCACTTTCGCCAGTGAGAATGGTACAGTTGACTTTTACAGGGTAAGATATTTCCCAAAGAAATGTACTGTATATACTGTATATAAAATAACACGCTATAAATAGACACTGCTGTATTGTATATAATGCCTGTTATATTGTATGATTAACTTTATGTCTCTGCCAAGGTTTGCAATTTCATAAAATAAATAAAACTAAAACAAACATGAAATAATTGCTAAGATACAATTTAACTTTTCAAAGTAATCTCTCATGTTGCCTGTAATGAAATTACAGTATATTTTTCCTTCAAAACAATGTTAAAGTGCCCAGTTTAGTGGAACAAACTTGTTTCTACATTGGTAAAGAAACCACTGAAAAACATTCCTAAAATTAGCAGCAGTTATTCCCTTCTGTAACTCTGTGTTCTTCTTTTGAATTGTAGGTAGGGAGTACATGGGTTTCAAACTGCACTAGATATGACTGTGTGGAGACAGCAGTTGGGGCTGTGGTACTTGGCTCAGGGGTTGTCTGCCCACCTTTCAATGAGTCTGAATGTATACAGGTCTGTACTAAGGCATCAACAGATCATTTGAATTTTGACGGAGCTTCAGTTTTCAAGGTTTTTTTGGACTTAACAATTTCACGGCCCTCTAGCTTGATGATTTGTAATTGCTGTTGTCCTTTGGTTTCTGCTTGAAAAGTATTATTTTGTTTTAATTTGTCACTCCAGTCACTCCTGTCCTGTCTTGTGTTTTTGCCATTTAATGAAGACCAAGTGGGAGGATTCTAGATACACAGTGCTGAAAAAATATTTATAACTGCTTTCTTATTTTTATCATTAGGAATGTTTTATTTCACAATGTAATGTCTGCTCTTGCCTCCTTTTTGATACTACAGTTGTGTATACAAGAAAACAAAATTGGCCAAAAACTGTTGTTTGAGGTGAAATTTTAATAGTGTATCTTGCAGTGCCATCTAGTGTTTAAATATCTTTGAAAGAACTAAACTTTCTAAAAGAAAAACTGCTCATTAGCAGCTGGGAAGGTGTATTGCTTAGCTTTCCTTAACCTTCAGTGAATGATTGAAGAAGACAATAATGCTTTCAGGTTCAATACTTTATTGCCATAACAAGTAGCTGGACTTTGGTTTGGTAATCTCATACAATTAAAAGACATTCAATACAAATATACAGTACAACATAAAGCCAACAATAGATTGCATCCATCCAGCACATCTTCAAATACTATACTCAACGCCCACCAGTAATAAAATAAATAACAGTAAGAACCGATAGAATAACAATGAGCCATGCAAAAATGTCAAAATGAAAGCGCAGAATTCCAGAAGTACTGTAAATCATAATAATGGGCTTTTGTTCTGTCTGTGTTATGTTGTACCTATTATACGTCCCACATAATATTTGCCCGGATACCAGGTCAGAATAAACCAGCTTTTAAAGTGTTAACTGTGACTCCATGTTGAAGTTGGCATGTGTCTTTTTCGTGGCGCTATACTGGCACAATCTTCCTTGATATATCCTCTTATCCTCTTGTTCCAGAATGGGGGCAATGTACAGAGCTACATCGATGGCTGTTGCAAGACCTGTAAGTTACCCAGGACCTTGTGTCCAGCTTGTTTGGCTTCTGGGAATGGAGTGCTGCGTTATAATTAAACTCAGTGGGTGGGGGTTCAAATGAGAACAAAAAAAAACGCATGTCGCATCCCAATCAAGGGAGGAGTGCAAAAAACACTGACTTGATAAGAACGACATGGCTTATTTGTGGCTGCTGGTGAATGCCTGTTGCAGACTGCTCGTGTGATTAGTCTGACCCCCGTTATTCTGGAGTATAACTGTGTAATCATCACCACACGTAAACCATTTCATACTGTAGGTGCTCATTTCAGCTGTATTCCGAGTTTTAAAGACTCTAAACGTCTTCTTTTGGGAAAGAAAAAACATTTGACATGACGCTTGTTCATTTGATGTCTGCTATCTGTTAATATAAATGTCACATATGGAGGATTCTGGTAAAGCAGAGTACAGCTCTACAGTATGACTCTGTAGGTTATAATCAAGTTGTTACGTTCTTTAGGAAGTTCTAATACATGTTTCTTTTTTAACTATAGTGCAGGGTTATAGGCAAATGTAACAGAACACAGCAAGTATGTCTAATAATTAATACTTTTACATTATTCACAACATCCGCTACCACTCATCAGACAAGTTTTACCCTTAGGTTATCTACTGTCTACTGTATGTTGACGACATAACCTAGCCCTAAACTGTCTATCTGACTTTTGTATGTTGCATATCATGCCTGTTAGTCTGGTAAAGGAGATAAAACACCTCAATTTATAACCATTTTACACATCTTACAGATATTGTAACACTTTACCAGGGTCTCAATCATGTTTATTATTAAATGGTTATATCATGTTATTATATAGTTTGAAGCATACGATTATTATGCAAACATTTTAGACAAATATAAAAAGTGACCTCATTCAAATAAATACATTTAGAAATCTTAAGAATTTTGGGAGGAATGGACAAATAAATCTCACCCTGTCTGATGAAATCATGAACTTATAAAGAAAGATTAAGATTCACTTAGGATTGTGAAAAACACAATTAATAGAATCATAATGGAATACAAAGTCCAACTGTAGGGTCATTATCCACTAACAAATGTCCTGTTTTTGCATTATTTATTATTTTAAATTTTGAATATGTTATATATTATTTAATGAAAATACAATGCACAGTTTTCACTGCTGGAAAAAAGAACGGTTTGTGTAAACAAATTTTCCTGTTTTAAGTTGAAAAACAAATATAAATAGGCTGATGTTTGAGTCTGTAAATGACTACTTCATCTTCAAGAATTGGATAAGATATTTAAGTTCAAAATCAAAAGTTTAAAACATAGAAAACTCCTTTGAATAAAAGCATTTTCATCTATATCAGCATGTTTATATTGAAAGACTGTTATACTTCAGAAAAGGTTTTAGCTGTGGATGCTAGGAATGTTTTGCACTATCTCTGAATCTCTTGCTAACCTGATGTGCTCAAATACGCAATGTTTTAGAGGGGTGCCCCGCAAACTAAAAGCATGTGCTCTTACTGTGAGAATTAAAAATTAAACTTTAAAAACAGAGCCTGAAAACAGCTTCTGCCTTTTGGCATTTTATGTAAGCAAGAAGCCTTGATTTTAATGCATGCTTGAATGAGCTGATTAATATATTGTGTAACCATAAGTATATAACATGTTTTCTAAAACACTGCTATTCCTGATAATTCTGCCAGGTTCTGGATTGGGTATATTACCATTTACCATTAGCCCAGTAGCCCCAACTGGTAGTACTAATTGTGACACAGGTACTATTACTGTTACTGTATTTTTCTCTTTTTTATAATAACAATGCATATTTAAAATGAAGGAATGTAAAATGATTTCATTATGATTTATTATGCCCCAAATTCTAACGCTGACATTAACAACACAGTTTACCACAAAAAAAATATTTGACAAATTATAATAAAAAAATAATCAGATGATTCTGTGATTTAAAAATGTAACCCAGATACTTTCTCAGAGTTACAAAGTTTCAACTCATTTAAGTTTTCTCTTGAGTTTAAAACACCTCAGAGAAAGTATTAATTCGTGAAATTTACGGTTAATGCCTTCTAACTATGACTTTACCTCAAGGATCTGAGATATGTCTTGAGCTGGTGTGGTGTTATATTCCTTGAAAGACTAACACACACCTGCATGTACAGTATGTGTGGGGATGTGAAACAGTAAAGGGCCCTCAATATGAAGTATTGTTGTAAATATTTGGTACTCTGGTTTGGAAACTCAACATTGAGATTACGGCATTGCTCAACATTGAGTAAAATAAAATAACAAAAATGTTTTTGTCACTATCTCTGACCTTCAGGGAAGTGGTACTAAGGAAATTACATTTTGCGATCTTCAAATAATCATATTTTTGCTTTTATTTTGTTGATATGTGTTATTTGGAATGATGGATGTTGTACTCCCTATAAGATATGGCATAACTAAGCATTTTTTCTTGGAATGACAGATTTAGAATTTACTGCCTTTAAAATATGTAAGATCAACTAATGCTTTGAGTCTAAAAAAATGTTTTACACCCTAAATGTTTCATTTTTTCACATTGCCCTTTGGAGTCTTTTAAAGATTTAAACATTGTAATTCATTCTTTTAAGAGATAATTAGAAAATAAAAAGTCAAGCAATAAAAAAGCAAATTGGAAGAGGCACCAAAATCTATCATCACAAGATTGTGAAATTTCTATTTTTCAAAGCACCTGTCTCCGTCGAAATTAATACACATTTTAAAAAACAAAAGACACAACAATTTAAGCAGTAACTGTTCACTAGAACAATATAAAACATTGGAGATCCCTTTCCATTATTTTCTAAAACCTAGGCATGATATTCTTTACTACTGTAGTGTTCTACAGGTTTTTCTGTTAATAATAATAATAATAATTGCTTACACTTATATAGCGGTTTTCTGGACACTCCACTCAAACCGCTTTACAGATAATGGGGACTCCCCTCCACCACCACCTGGATGATGCGACGGCAGCCATAGTGCGCCAGAACGCTCACCACCAGCTAAATTACCCAATATGTTTCCATTACTTTGGTTAGAGTGTGGCAGAAAAGATGTTGGTGTGTTGTTTGCCCTTCAGTGCCAGTCACATACAGTACTGTACTCTTGTGTTCCCAGCAAGAACTGAAGTGAGAAAATTATCTGAGATCATTTCAAATAATCAAACACAACCATACATCAAAAACGTCAAACGCATCAGAGGCTCCCAATGTGTTGCACTGGTAAAAGCCTGTCTGACATTACTGTAAAATGGATATACAGTAATTTTAAGTACTGTGGCTCAGAGTGCTGAGTGGCTGTTAATTCATACCTGTGTTTGTGTGTGCATGTGTAGGGAATAGCCTGGTAGTATGAAGTACAGTGGGGTGTGTGACACCAAGCCACCATAGCAGCTGTAAAGGCCTGCTAAAATCCTCAACAGCTGTGAAGGTAAATAAGTGCTAAGAAAGAACATGATCCCCACTGAGATGAGATGCTTCTTGGTCAGATTTGTGTGATAGCTGGTGTGCCTCAACCACCCCATTTTAAAGAATGTCTTCCACTGTTGGTCTTATACACTCCAATGTATAAAATGTCCTATGGTGACCATTAGTCATGACAGGAAAAACAGTGAAATTTGGAATAAACCAGGCCCAGTAAATAGGCTGCACTTACAGTATACGATGGTCCATTCTGTAACTCATCTTGTTAGTTCAAATTTTGAATGAGTCAAGAGTATAATTTGATAGCAAAACTGTACCTGTGACTAGCTGTCCTCTTTAGAAGGACTCTGTTTACACTGTTTAAACCAAGAAGCAGGGGGCAAGACGTGCTGCTCCAAACATATTCATTCATCATTCATGGACTGGATTATGGATAGTGAAGTCTGGGACAATCAGGACCGCCTCGACCAACCCCAGTAGCAACTGTTCTGTGAACCTTATTGCAATTATTTCAGTGTCCACTAGATTGACCACTACCTTGTCTGTTCAGCTTCACCTTGTGCCTAGAAATATTCAATTCAACCTACAACTCATAGTCAACCTGTGACAGTACTCAGCCATCCACAGACACAGATTGTCCACAGTGCCTGGCCTGGTCTACCATCTTGTCCACAATACTTAACACCTGTGAAGAGTCAAACATTGGTTTGACAAGCATGACCAGGAGAGCTAATGAGCCACAAGTATAATACTTTCTTTAAAATGGAAGCATTAATATGTTTCAAAGGAAAAGAAACAGACAGGTACCTGAAGGATGAAATGAGCACCGATAGCATCAAAACTAGATGTTAGGTGGAGAGAAATACAGAAGATCTCACCAATTGGCCCATTCACTCAAGGGCCATTTGTTCTGGGATCCAAAGACAGAGGGGAGCTCATTAAGCATAGAGAGACAATGGCTCCAGGAAAAAAAAAAACACTGATTTACAGTATCTGCCGAATAATCTCTCTACTGTCCGTCAAAGGAAATGTAATTGCTAAAATCTTCCTCAGCAACCTTATCCTTGCTCTCCTTGGTTCTGTTGTAATGGGATTCATTTACAGGACAGAAAACTGTTCAATCTCCACCATCTCCATTCCAGAAGCAATTTCAACCTCAGTCGTCAAAGTGCGTAGATGCAGGTTGAGCTTTGCAAGCCTCGATAATGTCACTAGCTGACTGTGACCAGGTTTAACCCCGTGCTGGAGTATTATTGGGTAGGAGAAGCCAGGGGTTGGCTGAGATTAAAAGAAATTGGATGGGTACTTGGTAAACTTAATCTAAAAATATATATTTTAGAGAATAAGCCCCACGCTAAAACAGTCTGTTCCTGGTAAACCTGTACCATTTCCAATGAACTATAATATAAGACGAGATCCTGGAATTACTTTTTATATTTTATGTAGCTGCCTATAAATATAGGGTCGTCATCAATGAGAATGCTACATTAAAGCAACTTAGCTTTAGAAGAATAGACAAATTCTTTAAATGTTCTCAAACGTTCTTGAAAATTACATCAATATTAACTTATTGGAGTCCCTTTCTCAAGATGGCTGAAGCTAGAGAAGATGCATCCAGAAAAGCTCTGAGCTTTTGGAGTGTCTTAGACAAGAGTATATGTCGCACAAGCTACAGAAGGGAGATAAACAACACAAACCATGTACTGTACCCACCAGTCCTGTCAAGCACCACCTGCCAAACCTCTGGCAAGAGTGCAGACTGTAGATCTCGTATAGTGCACGCCAGCCAACTCTGCACTCATAGAACTCCAGTAAAAGCAAGCCTCACTTGGCTTCAATGGAGAGAGACAGACTTACATTCAAAATGTTGTTTTTCATTTAGAAATGGCCTGACATGCATGTTGTGGAACATGGGGGATGTACTCTTTCAGTTTCTTGCTGAACAATGGTGGGCAAATGATTTCCGAATTGGTTATTAATAGGGGCAAATTTAGTGATGGATGAAAAAAATATATGTTCCGTTGACTGAAAATAATTTAAGGGCAGTATATAATAAAGACTGAGTTGTAAGACATTGAATAATCTTTTTTTTTTGTCTATACATTGTGTTATAGTATAATGCCATGGGTTTTATTCAGATGAATTTATGTTTTTAAGTGAGTTGTGCTAAGATGGTCATGTTCTTTAGGTTCCAGACGTTTTCTCAAGATTTCTTTTCCAGCGATAAAAGGTTTTCCTTTTCAGTTAATTCTGTTATTTCTCTGTATTATCAGGTAAAGAGGACGGTAGAGCCTGCAAAAGAGTGACAATCAGAACGACAATCAGGAAAGATGACTGCAGGAGCAGTGCACCGGTGAGCGTTCACAATGTAACATTGACAACATAGCAATTCTTATAGTCATCAGCAAACACCACAATATTGTAAAATCCTGGGTTCAGTTAGGGTTGTAGGCATTCAGATGAAGGAAAACAGAGCTTTCACTGAACATTACCAAACTTTATTGGGAACCAAAATAAAGAACAGATTAGAATTAAAAGAAGAAGCATAACTGACACAGCGTGAGCATGCATTCTCTTCTCAACCGTCCACACCTTGCTTCCCCCTGGGTCAGAAATGAAATAAAACTTCTCTCACGCTACACAAATTACCACAGTAAAAATAACCTACATAATAACATAAAATACAAAATACTGAATATGTTAATTCAAATATGTCTCACAATATGGAGAATTTCAAGGGCTTATTTGTTTGTTAAAGCGATTCACCTTCTTCCCCAATGTGCTCTTGCATTATTTTCATTGCTTCCTTTTTATTTTCAGATAACTGTATACTCCTGTGATGGGAAATGTCCTTCAGCAACCATTTTCAATTTCAACATAAACAGCCACGCGAGGTTCTGCAAGTGCTGCAGGGAGAGTGGGCTCCAGAATCGCACTGTGCAGCTCTACTGCACTAGAAACAGCACTTTTGTTGACTATGTGTTCCAGGAGCCCATGGATTGTTCTTGTCAGTGGAATTAGTCTTGCAAAACGATTATTTTTTCAGGAGATTGAGAATTGCTGAGGCACTTACTGTTGCTCAGCCCTTATTTTATCTGGGATCAAGTACTACAATGTTACTAATTACACACTTACAGTAGATCTTCAAATATATATATATATTTAGCCAGTCACTAAGTTATGGGTAGTATTTTTTTTACTCGTAGTAAAATTCTCTAATTTTAAATTGATTTGTTTTGCTAGTATTATCATTGTCAATAATACCGCAGATGCCAAATATTTTTTTAAAATATACTTAATTGCTATTGGGTGTATTTTTAAATGACTTGTAAAAAACTGATCTGCAGCTCTATTCTACAGCCCTATGATATACTGTACTACAATATTACTCTTCCACAATGATGTTTCTGCAATCCTTCTATTGGTGTTTCACACATTCTTTCAATAAAAGTCTTCCAATGAAGCTTAATGTATCCTTCTTTTACTTCCTGCTCTGAACAATTCTTTTACATTGTTGGAACTTTTTAGTATTTTGGTATCTATAGGCTGTTTTCACAAATATAAACCCACTTTGTTTTTTAAAAAAAGCTTTAAAAATTAATGCTTTTGGAATGTTTTTTTATCAACAATATTAATTTCTTTAGACCAAAAGCAAAATTGTCATAAAAAATGTTCAAATTGTGTGTTTTTAATCGTTTTACTTTTCTTTCACCTGTGAATTCATAACAATTTAAACGTCTTTTTCCTGAATTAAAAAATAATGCTTAAATCGATTTCTATTATATTTGCCTCATAATTTTGTCAAGGCTCAATGTCTTGCCCCAGTGAAATCAGAAGCAGAGTATATTGTGAATTAAGAGAATGGAAATAAAAGTAAATTCCAATATGCTCTAGTATTGATAATATACTGTAAGTTCTGTGTCATTAAGTCTGCCTTTTTTCCTATGCACCAATATGGACAAAACAAGATTATACTCATGTTTCAGTTACAAACAAAAAAGTAAAAAATGAGAACACTTGCATAGCTGAAGAACATACTCAAGTTCACACTGTAATAGTTCTGACACCTTATAAACATGACCTTAAGTAGTATGGGACAGTCATTATAAACCATTTAGTGTAGCAGCTCATTATCTAATCAGAGTTTAGAATACTAAAGTACTGTGAAAAACACAGAAGAATAAAGACAAACTGGAGTGCTGAGTTAATTAGAAGTAACCAGAAAGTTTTCCCTGCTACACATACAGTAAGTGTTCAAAAGAGCTTAATCTGCTCAAGAATGTAAAGACAAGTAAACTCCCCAAAATAAAAACTGACAATAAATAACACAAACAAAACATAGGAATTCACATAAACACAATCAGTTACTGTATGTGTTGGGTGCATTTATTAAAAAAGATAATAATAATAATTCCTTATACTTATATAGCACTCAAAGTGGTTTACAGGTAATGGGGACTCCCCTCCACCACCTAGATGATGCGATGGCACCATGAACTTAGTGTTCAGACAGTACAAACAGCAGATAAATAGAATCTGAGTGTGAGGTGGGGATGTACTCTAGATCCCCTACATGTACTGTAAAAGTAGTTTGATTAATCTTCAGTTGTATATGTTTTGCAGGACCAATAATACTTTGTTAAAGTCTTTAACTCACAGGAACAAGAAGCATTTCTGGATAACAACATAAAGAACCCAAATCAGCATAACCCAAAACAACCAGATAAACTCAGAAACAATAATGGGTTAGGTTTCTAGCTTTGCCAATGCATAAAACACATTACAAAAACAACATTTTAACTTCTTTTCAAGAGGATAGAGAGGGACCTGCATCAGTGTGCAGGCTCCAAGGCAAGTAGAGGTTACTTCCATGTTGAAGGGTTTTTTGTCTGTAGGCTGAAGAAGCCTACCTGAATTTCCTTATCTTAATGGTGTAATATAATATGTGGTTTATATTGATGGTTTTACAATGCGGCTGGATACAGACACATGGGTGGTGATTGGTCAGAACCCAAGTGCAAGGGACCGGAGACTGGCGGAGACACTTGATGAGATGCAACAGATTAGGGATTGAGTGCTGCGGTATGGGGTGAAAATAAAGTGAAAGTTAGTGCTCATGGAAAAATAGAGTACTGTCCAGCGGAGCTAATCAGTCCTAGCCAGTCAGTAATGAAAGAGAAAAGGCAAAGATGCATGTCTGAGAATAAGCTGTTTGTCTGCATCCCAGGCAAAGAAAGCCTGGGATGCTAGCCTTCAGAGAAACTGCCCACCTCAGCCCGTCAATCGAAATAGGGGTGTCGCACTCTTGGCTTCAGAGAGGATTCCTACTGCCGATCTCCCCAAAATGGGGGGTGCTGGATGAACTGCATCCCTTAGTAGTATGGGGTGAAAGCAGAAAGACTGACAGACTGGCATGGAGAGAAATTACAAGGGAAAAAAATAAGAAACACTGGCCAGCAGAACAATGATTGACCCACTAGGTCAGCAATTGACAGTCTAGGTAGAGACCAACAACCTACATGAAAAAGAAGCCACCACAGATCACCGTTGTGCTGCAATCTGAGGGCTTCACTGAGAGGAGGGGTCTCACCGAATGCCATTGAGGCAGGAAACCCCACTCGGTGGTTGAAGTGCTTGGAGAGCCCAGAAGCCGGTGATTCAAGGTGCATGCCCCTATGGGGGGTCTCCTCTAAGACCAGGCCAGGCATGTGATGTCAACTTGGTCTTCAGGTTTAATGCTCCATTGGGTGCAGCCAGGTGCTGTTAACACTGAATCCCCAAGAACCTTTTGGACCAACTAGAGCAGATGTCTGCAAGGAGACATTCTCTAGTCCCATCTCATCTTCCAGAGCCCCGGATCAGCAAAGCCATTGGTGGAGTCCCAGTCGGAGACTGAAAGCACAGGAATCCTCAGGGTGTGCAGGCTAATGGGGTATTGCTCTCTCTGCCACGGATCAGATTCCTCCTTCCTGGCTCCCTAGGAAGAAAGGGAAGGGCTCCGCTGGGAGCTGAAGGGTGGCTAAGAAGGAAAGAATAGAAAAACGAAAAGACAGCCCGAGAAAAGAGGGTGAGAACAAGAGCCCTGAAGAGCTAGAGAAAGACTGCTCTGAAGAGAAACCAGAAAGGGGCGGGTATAAGTGCAGTCGAAGAGAAGGTTGGTGTACAGGACACTCTACATTACAGGAATGGGGCTGCTTAGTTGAAGAAAGATGACTGCATGGAGAGAGCCCTGGGGTCCTGGACAATGACGGCTGTCCCCAAGGTGAGTCAGAAGATCGATGAAGAAGAAGATGCCAGCAAACAATAGTCCCAGATTCCAGGGCGAAGGCCAGGAGCAGCCATGCAGACTGGAGTGCGGACTGGAGACCTGGAACCGAAGCTGCAGTGCAGAGCAAAGACTTGGAACTGGAGCTGTAATGTGGAGTGGAGTGAAGATTTGGAGGCGGAGCTCCAGTACAGAGCGAAGACTTGGAACTGGAGCCGCATTACAGGCTGTGGTTGTGGTAGACTGCTTGAAGATGTAGTCTGCTTCAGGAGACAAGGGCAAGGGTAGTCAGCTACAAGACCTGGAGTTCAGAAGCCTCGACACTCAGTCCCTCAACCTCCCAGGAAAGGGAGCTGCATGGGTCTGGCATTCCAGAGTGTGATGACTGCCCCTGAAAAGCCACTGAAGCTTCAGCCCGCCTGACAGGAGAATAAGGGCGAGAGTGGTGGCAGTACTGCAACCGGGGAGAACAGTGGAGTCGGGAATGAAGAATGATGAAGCGCCACTAAAGCGGTGCCTTGGCACTAAATAGGGAAATAGAGCAATTGAACAATTGAAATCATAATTGCTCATTAGGGCAGATCACTCCGGTCCGGTCAAAACGCCAAGCCCTGGAAAACTGTGAGCCACTATGAGAATCCGAATGTTTCCCAGGGTAACCACGGGCCGACAGATGCCGCAGGACATGTTGTAATACAGGGTGGCATGAAACCAGATCCTATCCCAGAGGGTAATGGGCAGGAGGCAGGATACACTCTGGACGGGATGCCGGTCCATCACAGGGCAAACAATCAAAAACATAGACACAGTCAGACACTCAGACCTACTGCAGGGCCAGTATGTGTATTAGGAAACCCAACTGAACATGGGGACATACTGTGTAAACTCCAGATTTGGTACCCCACTCCAGAATTGGACCCAGGGACTCAGTGCTGTGAGGCAGCACTTCTAATCACTGCCCCACCATGCCACCCAACTATTCATATTGTAACGCTTACGGCCGACAGGTTCTGTTTAAGAGCCGGCTTACCAGAGCGGTGACGTTGCCGCCCTTCCCTGTGATAGCAGGACTACAGCTACTGGGCTGTAGAGAGATCTCTCTTTAGCTCACCGGGCTGGGTCCCTGCTGAGTGACGCGGGAGTCCTGGGTTCGAGCCCCCAACAGTGGGGGGCCGACCTAATGCGGCAAGGGCGCCCGCCTGAGCTACAATATGCGTTACAATATGAAGAACCAAAATTCCAATCTCATTTTCCTTTTCAGTTAGACATGGGAAATCCACTTTGCATTCCCTTCTGGAACACTTACTGTAGCTTATACAGTATACAGGGATTTGAGAACTTCTACGGTATTGGTGCTTATATTTGTGCTTGAAAAGACAGCAAACTACTGTATATATGTAAAATATACATTTATATATACCTTACTCAGTTTTCAAAATCTCAAAATTATTTGGGGTATTAAATCAAAATAATAAATCCAAACTTATTATGAATAAATATCTTAAAGTTGTTATTATTTTCTGTTATCGCTTTAGGTGCTCTCATATTCTATTGTTTGAAAGTATTGCTGGCAAGTCCATAGCCCACAGCATGATCTTTGCAAAAGGCAACAGCTGGTTCTTAAAAGTCATCATCCTACACAAACTGACAATTATGCATCTTACTTTCTCGCTGACTTTTGTTTTCAAAAACCTGTAAGAATGCAGCAATGATTCCTTTCCCAGCTCCCCATAACAGAAACGCTGATTCGCGGCAAAAACTAAAACAATCAGCAACATATTTCAATTGATTAATGAGCCCTTGGTTTTAGGAAGCAGAACTAAGAATGCATAGAATTCAAGGCTGTTTGTATAACCTTTAGCGTGTCAATGGGAGTCATTCGCTAAGGCGTTTACTCCAAATTATCAGCACCTAAGAAGACAAAAAAATCAATCCTCTCTGGAGCACCTTTCTAAAAAACAATTGAATTTCACATGACTGCTGTGCTCAAAGGCTTTTAAACGGCTTAACTGACGTAAACAGTGCGTTGATTGCGTTGAAGTAATTAAAATTAATTTATTTGACATATGCATGACATTTAAACAGCAAACAGCGGATTAAGAAAATCGCTAATCTGAATGTGAGGTGCGACTGAGATTTTGGACGGAGATCTTCAATTCTGTATGCTTTGCGGTGTTAAATGATGTTTTACAAGAAGTACTTTAACTTACAAGACAAAATGTTTTCTTGATCTCACAACCATTTACTGCGTTAATGATGTACAGTATGAATGACTGTCATGGATCCTACTGTACGAGATTAAGAAAATTGATGCTACGCTTTTGTCTGCGATGTGTGAAAACCAATGTTTTCAATTCATTTGCATGTTAATCGGAAACGTGTAATCAGAAAATTATCAAATACTGCATTTTAATTTGTTTGCATGATATAATCTTAGGATTTAACTTTACTATAATATTCAGTTAAATTTATTTGTTATATACAATCAGTGCAATGAAATGTTTATAATATGAACACGGCATGTGATAGGTATGAGCACAAATGTCTCATATTTGTATACGGAAATTCGTATTGTCTAAAAAAAGTAAACATTGTTTTAAAAATACATATTTTCAGAAAGAAACATAAACCTTCAGCCAATAAAAGAGGTGAACCTCAATGTTACCCCCTGCACAACGCGTAATATAGCAAAAAATAATAGTAACTAGTAGGATAGCCCAAGAGCGAGTGTATCAAACCGCCTTGCCCCCGTTACATTCACAAGCAGCTGGTCAGACACTCCTCCACTTCCCTGCTCTTTGGAGTCCAGTTATGGAGAGGCTGCCTGCTTCAGTCGTCATGACAACCTCCTCTCAGTCCAACAAAGGGAAAAGGCCAGCAATGGCCAGAACAAATTGGGGAGAAGGAAGAGGGGAGAGACCACTTCGAACTGCTGAATGGGAGAAAGACGTGCGAGATAGAAAATCACATGCGTCCACTGCAGCTGTTGGGTTTCTCCAAAATCACTGAACGCCTGTGGGGGAGAGGGCAAAGAAGCGCGCTAAATTCAAAAAAATGAGTTTTACGGGCTCTAAGAAGTTGAGTAAGCCATATCAGGTAACTAGAACGTTTTTACTTTGCACTGTAAGAGTTTCCCCCCCCCCAAATTGTAATGTAACATACAGAAAATGTGCTTTGCTCTTTCAACTGAAGAATTCAGAAGTGCGGTTTTGACACTATGCTGCTGCACGTTCATTCAGTCAGCTTGTTTTATTTGACTTATTTTACGTGCCATTGCTGCTGCGTTAGGGTAAAAACGGTTGGATGTTAGAACTGTTATCCTAAGTTTCAGTTTATGTTTGTGGTTTCAAGTTTGTGGCAATAGGTGTGATACTGCCGCAGCACGACGACGTTTCAGAGTTTCAGACACTGGACACGAGCTGGTAAACAACATCAAACATTGCCAAGTCCCATGCGGTTCCACTAAAACTGAGTTTTTCTTAAAGAAACATATAATATTTACAATATCATAGTTTGTATGCGTTATTTATGATTGCAAATTCATGAGATGTCTGTTTTCACCATGCCTTGCTTATCTTTTAAGACCCGAGAACTGTGTGGCGCCCTTGTTACAAACCGGTTAAAGACTGAAACAACAGTTTTTATTTTATTAGCATTTGATATTTTTTGTTTGTTTTTGCTTTAGGGCGCATGTGCTCTTGTAGGAATGAAACAAAGCTGCCGCATCGCAAAAGCTGTCCTTCTCTTGCTCGTTTTAGATTATTGTCTGCAGGTAAGAATTTTTCTCCCACTCCTGCTCTTTAATCTTCTCCCTTTGTCTTTCTTCAGACAAAAACAGCATTTTCCGTCACTTTCAGCTTTTAATACTGCGGCAAAAACTTTTAAGTTAAAATTAAAATTTAAAAATTAAGTTATCCCGGGCTTTTTATTTTCAAAACAATGCAAAAAAA